TTGTTAAAAAGTTTAACGATATTGAGAAGAACTTCAACGCACAAGTCACAGAACAGCTATCTAGCAAATGCCGCACCTGATCGTTCAACCTTGTGGCAAGTGAAAAAATGCGTAAACATCTAGAAATAATAATAAAAAACAGCAAATTGGTTGAAAGAATTTATCCTTATCATTTATTCTGATAAATGTTTAAATAAACTTTTCAAATTTCAATCCTTCATATTTTCTCAATGACTCGACCGATTTTCAAAAACGAAGCGGGAAAATATAGAGAATAAAAAGCCCTTTTCATTGCGGTACCACTTGACCCGCCTTCCTATTTGAAAAAAGTTGGGGGATGACACCCCCGCTTAGAGGGTTGAAGATTTTGCAATCATTTTTGGGGCAAAAGTTGTCCCCCTCACAAAAAAAATTGACGTGTTTTTGAATTTTCTGAAAAAAAAATTACCCTGGCCGTTATGCCTTGCGGAACGTTTTCGATGGGCCACCCTGTATACTGCTGATATGATGCTGCTGTAGCATAAATATTAAAGAAACTACATGCTAATACATGTAGCACTTAGCTAGGAAATATGACAATTCCAGCCACTTTCCTTCTTAGTTCATTTTCTTTGCTAAAATGTACGAACTTTACGCACATCTCTAGTTGCTCTATAAACTGAATCTTAAAGAAAAATTACCTATAAGCAGGTAATCGTTGTATAAAAAGGAATCTAAAAATATAGAATTATAATACTATATGAAATACGCAAATTTAGTTTAAATTTTACTTGTACTAAAAAATTGTGTGTTTCTAATTTCCGGATATCTAGAATAAATAAATAAATGCCTTTATTGTCAAAAAATTTTACAATTAGTCTTATTGTTTAAAATAAACATTTCTAAATGTTTACAATCTCAAAGAATAAAGAAATAAAGAAATTTGTAACGTATATAATACGTATAATATAATATACAGGGTGGTCCGAACTGTATTCCGGAAACTTCGGCAACATATTCTGCAGAAAAAAAATAAGTAAAAAAGTTCGTATAAATGTATGTCCTAAAATGCTTAGTTCCGGAGATACAGGGTGTAGAAGTTTCATTCTTATTTCGATTTTTTCCAAATAATTTCTGAAGCAACGTCAATATTTGGACGAAAATTGGTGTCTGGGAGTTTTTTGACATGAGGAATTTCATTTTGATGTCAATATGACCCCTACTAGTAGAGGGCGCCACCTACATATTTTTTAACTGGTTTGAAGAGTAATAACTTTTCGCCCGTACCTGTATAAAACTACTGAGTAAAAAAATATACATTTACGATGTTTTTTACGTGAAAAAGATCTCTTAGTAAAAACCGCTAATAATAAGTAATGGTTTTCGAGATATTTGGAATAGAAATTATCAATACCTGTCATCATTGACATAAATTAAATATGTTGACTAAATAGTTATTACATTCAAATAATAAATTTTAAATGTTTTTGTGCCAAATGTTCAACAGAAACTGTTTTATCAACATTTTTTGCACAAAAATTTATGATTAGTTTAAAAAAATAAAAATTTCCCAAATTTATTATTTCAGTGAAATAACTATCTACTCAACGTGTTTATTTTTAGTCAATATTGACATGTATTTACTATTTCCATTCTAAATATCTTAAGAACGGTTGCTCGTAGCGATATTTTTTACGTAAAAGATCACAGAGATGTATATTTTTTCGCTCGGTAGTTTTATACAGGTACGGACAAAAAGTTATTACGCTTTAAAACAGTTAAAAGACACGTAGGTGGCGCCCTCTACTAGTAGGAGCCATATTGACATCAAAATCAAATTTCTCATGCCAAAAAACTCCCAGACACCAATTTTCATCCAAATATTGACGTTATTTCAGAAATTATTTAGAAAAAATCGAAATAAAAATGAAACTTCTACACTCTGTATCTCTGAAACTAAGCATTTTAGCTTTTTTACTTATTTTTATCTGCAGAATATACTGCCGAAATTTCCGGAATACAGTTCGGACCACCCTGTATAAATACTTTTGCAATTTCAGTGAACGGGTATTGGGCTTCTGTGGGTCATATAAACATTCCTACTGCTTTGGATAAAGGTCTGATATATAAAATTTTGAATTTCAGAGTGATGCAAAATACTTTGATATACAGGGTGTTTCAAAACAAATGCGAAAAACTTCAGGGGGTGATTCCTTGTTCAAAATAAAGGGTAGTTTGCTTCATAAACGTTGGGTCAAAAGTCAACCATTAGGGAGATATTGCGGTCCAAAGATGGCGGAAAAATAATGTTTTTATTTTTTATCTAGAAAACGAAAAGAGATAGACTAATAAAATTTTATGGAAGCATTACTGTTATGAAAACACACTTTCTGGTAATTTTTTCACTTTTTTAAAACGAGTGGAAGGGGTTGAAATAAACTACCCCTATCATTCTTGTTAACGAAATTTAAAGAAAAATCTTATCAAACACATGCAAAAAAATTAATTTGGATAGTTTAGTTTGTTTAGAAACTTTTTATCTCTTGTATTTTTTTGATAAAACTCACCGATTTGAAATTAAAAAATAAAATGTAAAGCATTACATGTCAGGACAAAAAACATTTTCTGATAAAGAATCTAGTGGGCTGCTGTAATATTTTTAGGAAAAAATCTAATCGGCCGCTGTTACTTTTCAGGATGTTCCTAGTATTATTTTATTTGACATTACTCTACTGCAATACGTTATTATCTAGATGATTATTATTATCGTTATTATCACTAGATTCATAATCTAAAAATGTTTTTTGTCCTGACATGTAATGCTTTACATTTTATTTTTTAATTTCCAATCGGTGAGTTTTATCACAAAAACACAAGAGGTAAAAAAGTTTCTAAACAAACTAAACTATTCAAATTAAAGCATTTGCATGTATTTGATAAGATTTTTCTTTAAATTTCGTTAACAAGAATGAGAGGGGTAGTTTATGTCAACCCCTTCCACTCATTTTAAAAAAGTAAAAAAATTACCTGAAAGTGTGTTTTCATAACAGTAATGCTTCCATAAAATTTCATTAGTCTATCTCTTTTCGTTTTCAAGATAAAAAATAAAAACATTATTTTTCCGCCATCTTTGTACCGCGATATCTCCCTAATGGTTGACTTTTGACCCAACGTTTATAAAGCAAACTACCCTTTATTTTGAACAAGGAATCACCCCCTAAAGTTTTTCGCATTTGTTTTGAAACACCCTCTATAAGTAGGTCAAATAGACTGAATGTATAGTGATCTAGTATAGTACCTACTGTATTTCCGATGAAAAAGCAAAAGTGATTTTAAGTAAAAGCTTCTTATAGTATCATCACAAAGTGACGAAAAATATGTATAAGCCAGCAAGACAAGGATCATCGAAATCCTATCTTGTTTCAGAGCTTGTACAGGGAATACCCAAATGTATAACACTGCAGAACGTACATGCTGCCATTACTCGCTGACGAGTATTTGACACGCATCAGAAGATGGTTACACAAGGCGTTTTCTTTCATGAGCTTTTCTGTGACTGAAAATCCCTATACGTGATCTTATCTCTCTTCCGCACTCCGGACGTTCAAAAATCTCATTGATTTGTTGCCTCTTTACTCTTTGGTTATTGCTGTTAATTGAGTTTACAATTCTTCTCCATTGCGTTCTATTGTGCGCTACTTCTTCCCACTCATTCTGCATATTTATCCTTTTTTAGTTTTCGTGGAAAATATCCTTGTACCTTTTGAGTTGTCCACCCTGTTTCCTCTTCTCTTACCATCTTCAAGTTCACCGTAAAGCAGATATTTTGGTAGGCGGTTTTCTTGCATTCTGCATACGTGACCAGCCCATCTTAAGCGGGATTTTGTAATCATGACATATTGATCTCAGCTCCGGCATCGGCACCGATTTTGCCGGCGTGTGTGAAAAAGCTCTGAGTGTAATGGGCCAAACGAACTAATAGTACTAATAAACTACCCGGCATTGGAAGCAGTTGTTTTACGACGGTTATTTTTCAATCTTTAATTAAAAATTATATAAAATTTTCCGACACACTATTTGTTTAAATCAGTTAAAAAATAATGGCAACAAAATATATTTATCGAAAACGTACAAGATACCTCTTAAAAACTAATTATTATAAAGTACAATTCAATTGCAGCCAAATAAAAATCACTCAAAATGAGTTTATCTCAAAATTATCTTGCATTTAATTGTAACTAGCAATATATAGAGTAATATTATCTAAAAATTTTCAGTTTCACATTATATTGTCATTATCAGATATACCTATAAAATTTAATATGTATTTTCTGAATAGCTGATCAAAGCTCTAGCTTAAAATTTTGAAAAATTGTATTTATCTATAAATTAGATAGTGTAAAAAATATGTATTATTTCAGTTCGGAATGGCCTGCACATAAGTAAAAATATATTAGTATATTCTGAAAAGTGATATAAAAATGATTTCGTTGAAGTTACTACTGTGCTGTTTACTTTTAATACACCAAAGTAAGTACACTGTTAAATGTAATAATTTGCTAGTTTAATATAAGATATATTTTTCTTTTATTTATGTAAGTTCTCAACATTCATTTAATGACTTTTTTAATTATCCGGGTCTTTTTCGAGATAGCTCAACTATCTTTACATACATATATGGTCGTCTTCCACCTTCCACCAAAAAACGTCTTTTAGTATGATCTAAACTTTAACTTTTTTTAGATATGCCATTTATTTTGTCTGCTTCACAAAGATCAAAGCTGCAACAAGTTAGTTTTAAAAAGACTTAAGTCTTAAGTAATTTCTAGAATCAAAATGATTTAAGTCTTGAGTCAAATTAAACAATTGAGTCAAATAAAGTTCAAATGATATATGTCTTAAGCCTTTCACTTAAATCATTCTATTTCAAGTCAAGTCATTTTTGCAAAACTTAAATAAATATAATATTATTTAAGTCGTTTTTATGACTTAAGTCTATATTTTTGTATAGTATTTTATAGATCTATATTTTTGTATTTTTGCGAAGCTACGACGTCTAGTCCAACAAACGAAGCTACAACGTCTACTCCAACTAGTGAAGCCACTACGTCTTCTCCAACAAGCAAACCTACGACGTCTACTCCAACTAGTGATGCCACGACGTCTACTCCAACAAGCGAAGCTACGACGTCTAGTCCAACAAGCGAAGCTACGACGTCTTCTCCAACTAGTGAAGTCACGACGTCTACTCCAACAAGCGAAGCTACGACGTCTACTCCAACTAGCGAAGCCACGACGTCTTCTCCAACAAGCAAAGCAACGACGTCTACTCCAACTAGTGATGCCACAACGTCTACTCCAACAAGCGAAGCTACGACGTCTACTCCAACTAGTGAAGCCACGACGTCTACTCCAACAAGCGAAGCTACGACGTCTAGTCCAACAAGCGAAGCTACAAAGCCTACTCCAACTAGTGAAGCCACTACGTCTTCTCCAACAAGCAAAGCTACGACGTCTACTCCAACTGGTGATGCCACGACGTCTACTCCAACAAGCGAAGCTACCACATCTCCTCCAACTAGTGAAGGAACGACATCTACTCCAACAACTGAAGGTACCACGTCCACTCCAAGTAGTGAAGGAACGACATCCACTCCAACAACCGAAGCTACCACGTCTACACCAGTGGTGGAAGGAACGACGTCTACTCCAACTAGTGATGCCACGACGTCTACTCCAACAAGCGAAGGAACGACATCTACCCCAACAACCGAAGCTACCACGTCTACTCCAACTAGTGAAGGAACCACATCTACTCCAACAACTGAAGGTACCACGTCTACTCCAACTAGTGAAGGAACCACATCTACTCTAACAACTGAAGGTACCACGTCTACTCCAACTAGTGAAGGAACGACATCTACCCCAACAACTGAAGCTACCACGTCTACTCCAACTAGTGAAGGAACGACATCTACCCAACAACCAGGCTACCACGTCTGCTCCAATGGTGGAAGGGTTGACTGTCCTACCCCAACAATGACTACCACATCTACTCAACTAGTGGAGAGGAACCACATCTACCCAACAACCAGAGGTCACCACGTCTACTCAATGGTGGAAGGGAACGACGTTTACCCCAACAAGCGAAGCTACCACATCTACTCCAACTAGCGAAGCCACGACGTCTACTCCAACAACTGAAGCTACCACGTCTACTCCAACTAGTGAAGGAACCACATCTTCTCCAACAACTGAAGGTACCACATCTACTCCAACTGGTGAAGGAACGACATCTACCCAAACAGCCAGTACCACGTCACCTCCAACTAGTGGAGGAACGTCACCCCAACAGCCAGAGCTACGTCTACCCCAACCAGCGATGGAACGACATCTACCCCAACAACCGAAGCTACCACGTCTACTCCAACTAGTGAAGGAACCACATCTACTCCAACAACTGAAGGTACCACGTCTACTCCAACTAGTGAAGGAACCACATCTACTCCAACAACTGAAGGTACCACATCTACTCCAACTAGTGAAGGAACGACATCTACTCCAACAACCGAAGCTACGACGTCTACTCCAACTAGCGAAGGAACGACATCTACCCCAACAACCGAAGCTACCACGTCTACTCCAACTAGTGAAGGAACGACATCTACCCCAACAACCGAAGCTACCACATCTACTCCAACTAGTGAAGGAACGACATCTACCCCAACAACCGAAGCTACCACATCTACTCCAACTAGTGAAGGAACCACATCTACTCCAACAAGGGAAGCTACGACATCTACTCAAACAAGCGAAGCTACGACATCCACTCCAACAACCGAAGCTACCACGTCTACACCAATTAGTGAAGGAACGACATCTACTCTAACAACCGAAGCTACGACGTCTACTCCAACTAGCGAAGGAACGACATCTACTCCAACAACTGAAGCTACCACGTCTACTCCAACTAGTGAAGGAACGACATCTACCCCAACAACCGAAGCTACCACGTCTACTCCAACTAGTGAAGGAACGACATCTACCCCAACAACCGAAGCTACCACGTCTACTCCAACTAGTGAAGGAACCACATCTACTCCAACAACTGAAGGTACCACGTCTACTCCAACTAGTGAAGGAACCACATCTACTCCAACAACTGAAGGTACCACGTCTACTCCAACTAGTGATGCCACGACGTCTACCCCAACAAGCGAAGGAACGACATCTACCCCAACAACCGAAGCTACCACGTCTACTCCAACTAGTGAAGGAACCACATCTACTCCAACAACTGAAGGTACCACGTCTACTCCAACTAGTGATGCCACGACGTCTACCCCAACCAGCGATGGAACGACATCTACCCCAACAACCGAAGCTACCACGTCTACTCCAACTAGTGAAGGAACGACATCTACCCCAACAACCGAAGCTACCACGTCTACTCCAACTAGTGAAGGAACCACATCTACTCCAACAACTGGAGATTCCTACACATTCCTACCTCCCAACTGGTGGAAGGGAACTGACATCCTCCAACAATGGAGCTACCACGTCTACTCCAACTAGTGAAGGAACGACATCTACTCCAACAACTGAAGCTACCACGTCTACTCCAATTAGTGAAGGAACCACATCTACTCCAACAACTGAAGGTACCACGTCTACTCCAACTAGTGAAGGAACGACATCTACCCCAACAACCGAAGCTACCACATCTACTCCAACTAGTGAAGGAACCACATCTACTCCAACAACTGAAGGTACCACGTCTACTCCAACTAGTGAAGGAACGACATCTACCCCAACAACCGAAGCTACCACATCTACTCCAACTAGTGAAGGAACGACATCTACTCCAACAACCGAAGCTACCACGTCTACACCAACTAGCGAAGGAACGACATCTACTCCAACAACCGAAGCTACCACGTCTACACCAACTAGTGAAGGAACGACATCTACTCCAACAACCGAAGCTACGACGTCTACTCCAACTAGCGAAGGAACGACATCTACCCCAACAACCGAAGCTACCACGTCTACTCCAACTAGTGAAGGAACGACATCTACCCCAACAACCGAAGCTACCACATCTACTCCAACTAGTGAAGGAACCACATCTACTCCAACAACTGAAGGTACCACGTCTACTCCAACTAGTGAAGGAACGACATCCACTCCAACAACCGAAGCTACCACGTCTACTCCAACTAGTGAAGGAACGACATCTACCCCAACAACCGAAGCTACGACGTCTACTCCAACTAGTGATGCCACGACATCTACTCAAACAAGCGAAGCTACGACGTCTACTCCAACTAGTGAAGCCACGACGTCTAGTCCAACAAGCGAAGCTACGACGTCTACTCCAACTAGTGAAGCCACGACGTCTTCTCCAACAAGCAAAGCTACGACGTCTACTCCAACTAGTGATGCCACGACGTCTTCTCCAACAAGCAAAGCTACGACGTCTACTCCAACTAGTGATGCCACGACGTCTACTCCAACAAGCGAAGCTACGACGTCTACTCCAACTAGCGAAGCCACGACGTCTACTCCAACAAGCGAAGCTACGACATCTACTCCAACAAGCGAAGCTACGACGTCTAGTCCCGCAAGCGAAGCTACGACGTCTACTCCAACTAGTGATGCCACGACGTCTACTCCAACAAGCGAAGCTACGACGTCTACTCCAACAAGCACAGCTACGGCGTCTACTCCAACTAGTGATGCCACGACGTCCTCTCCAACAAGCAAAGCTACGACGTCTACTCCAACTAGTGATGCCACGACGTCTACTACAACAAGCGAAGCTACGACGTCTAGTCCAACAAGCGAAGCTACGACGTCTACTCCAACTAGTGAAGCCACGACGTCTTCTCCAACAAGTGAAGCTACGACGTCTACTCCAACAAGCGAAGCTACGACGACTACTCCAACTAGTGATGCCACGACGTCTACTCCAACAAGCGAAGCTACGACGTCTAGTCCAACAAACGAAGCTACGACGGCTACTCCAACTAGTGAAGCCACGACGTCTTCTCCAACAAGTGAAGCTACGACGTCTACTCCAACGAGCGAAGCTACGACGTCTACTCCAACTAGTGAAGTCACAACGTCTACTCCAACAAGTGAAGCTACGACGTCTATGTCGACAAGCGAATCAACGACTTCCTATCCGAAAACTACATCAAGTACATCCACAACTTCGACAACGCCAACTAATACTACGACCACCACCACAGCAGTTCCCATAGGCCCTACTAAATTTCCATTTCCTGACGACAGCTCTTCAATGAAGATTAAATCACACAATGGTTTAGTTTTAGGAGGTCTCCTACTTCTAGTGCTTAATTATGTCTTTTAACATCCACAGTTCTAACATAGTGACATCTACATTATTCCTATTTATAAATAATGCACAAACAAGCATAGTACCGTTTGACCGAATAAAAACGGCGTCAGCGGTGTCTATGAACTGACTATCAATGACATTTCTTATATAAATTGAAATATAAAATGACAGCGATCCTCGTTTCATAGCCATCGCTGACGCCTTTTTTTCGGTCATACGGTATTCACCTTATTCCTAAAGTATTTATGTTACATTATATGGATCTGTGATAATTATAACTTTAAAACATGTTCAATCTAATTTATAATTAAATATGTATATATAAAATATAAGTATTAATTTAAAGCCAGGAATGTGTGTTGTAGAGTATACCTACATACATCCTACAAAATATCTAATTGGTTTGTACTATTTCCTTCATATACATATAACTATATATACTCAGTGTTCCCTATTTAACCCCGTGTGCAATTTGCGTGCCGTAAGAAAAAGACAACATAACTCAGCTCCATATTAATGCTGCATAAATCTATTTCACCCGGATATCGATTGAACTGCGACTGCGCCAAACTCCGATTGATTGTTGTTTTAGTTCTGTTTGGATTACTTTTTATTTGTGCGTGTAAAAGAGTGATTTTGTTTAGTTTATTGTTTCCAACTATTTTTTGATATTTTTCCAACTCCATGATAATGTGTTATAAATAATAAAAATATAAATAAAATTGAAGGTTAGGTGAAATGTCAGTCAACCACTTCCCTTTAAAAACACGGACCAATGAAAACTTCTTCAGGTAAGGCATGCGCAATTAAGTGACTATCCGGGTGAAATAGACTTATGCAGAATTCCATATTTCTCTTTCACTGTTTGGGCTTCACTTTTTAGAGATTAGGCTGAGTATATAAAGTTATATGTATATGATTTCCTTATGTCTATTGACAAGTGACAATAGATAGGTACGCTTTAAGAACAATCCCACCAAGCAAAAAACCTCATATTACATTTACAATATTTCAGTCAATATTTTTATAATATGTCTAATTAAATTTGGCCGAAAGGAATTTTGCTGGATTTGCTGGAAGTTGTTCTAAAAAAGGACTGTCCTTTTCAAAAAAGGGTTAGCTGGCTTGGAAATGAACATCGATGATATTCTCCATATAATTTTACAATAAAATGACGGCGATTTTTATTTCATAGCCATCGCTGACGCCTTTTTTTCTATAGTACAATATTGGGTTGTCAAGATACTATATTCACTCTATTTTCTCTTACTTTCTGACTTTCCCCCATAGACCTAAGCGCAAACATGGCGGCGCGGCGCGGTGCTCAAGATAAGAATTTCTCCGCACGTTGATGCTCATTCTTAATGCCTCTATATCTCTGAGATAACCTCTTTAAATTTATTTAACCTCAATTTATTTTTGTGTTGTACTTTGATTTTTTTTATAAATAATATTATATACCTATAAATACGGTATTATAATGTTCTTATGACAAATTTTGTGAGCCAATTTTGACCTGATTCTTTTGTTTACAACTTTCAAACATGCCTTCTGATGAGCAAAAACGAATTATATTGCAAGATATTAATTGTAAATACGGCGATAGCTTATTAAATTTATCTAAATGCACCGAAATTTACCAAAACCTTTTGGACAGAAAGAGAGAGATACTTCGAGAGGTAGGTATTATGAAGTTTGATTTATTTTCCTTTATTTCAGATAATACAATATTTTAGCTGGACCTAGAAAATACAGAAGGTATTGTTGGTGCTTCTATTAATGATGGGGAAAATGCCATTGGGCAGTCTAGACTAGCAGTAGACAATTCTAGAGAAATAACTGATAATGTTGAAAAAGATTTAAATGAATTTGAAGACATACGGAATACATTAAAGAATAAATTCGATAAACTCTATGCTTTACAAACTACTTTGCAGTACATGAGAGTTGTACAGCAAATTGAACATTTATGGTATGTATTTTTTTCTCACCTAATTTCACTTTGAGTGTATTTGTTTTTTTTTAAGTAATGAATTACAGCGAGAATTGGATAGAAAAGATGATGAAAAATGTACTACGCATTTTGCCAATTTAACAGAAATCAACAGGATACTTGCAGATTGCCCTGTAGAACATTTAAAATGGTATCTTAAGGAATCTATGTTACACTGGCATGAAATTTTAAAGGAAAAATTATCAAAGTAGGTGGTAATTTTAGCAAATATATTTTTTGGAAGTAAGAACCTTTATTTTTAGAGATCTTGAGGAGGTATTGAGACAAATAAAGTGGCCTTTTGTCAGCACAAATTTTAATTTAGTATTGCCTATGGATAGTAATATTAGTAGGCTTAAAACTATAGCAGAATATTTGCTGCAAATTGAACTTCCAACAGAAAGTAATGTTCAAAAGGAAGTTCCTTCAGGTAGGTACTTGATATATCTACTATATATATTTTGGTAATTATTGGGAAAACTGGAAATCGTCAGATTTTCACCAAAATTGGTATACACACTATTTTAAGGTCGTAGATTACGAATCTGAACTTTTTTCTTGGCGGTCTCTTACGGTTTTTCAGAAAAACGGAAAATTATTTCAACATTGAATTTTTCTTTATTTCGGCCCTATAAAGTAATAATTTCACTATATTTTCATTATATTATAGTTTATCTAAAAGCTACACTTGATTGGGGATAGAAAAATGTCCGAAATTTTACTGAAAAACACTTTTCTTAACAAAATAACAAAGAAAATTGAGACCAGATGGACGTTTGACATTTGATTTATCTTTCTTTCTCTCTGCTATGTAATGAGAGAGACAAATATATTCTAGACCTAATCTAGAAATTTGAAAATTTACAACGTTGCCATATCGTCTATTTTTTCGGGTGATTAGGGATTTTAAATAAATTACCTATTATGAGATTGACAATACTAATTAAATATACCTACCTATATCCACAAAGTTACGCGGAAGAGTTTTGATTGCATTGGTTTCAACTTCTATGCGGAGGGGCTTAATCTTTTTTTTTGTTATATTATATTTATAACCACGAAGTTGCACGAAAGTTAATCTTTTGTTGTTATATTATATCAAAAAAAGACTATTTATAACCACGAAGTTGCACGAAAAAGTTTTGATTGCATTGGTTTAAACTTTGCGGTGGGGGCAAGGGAGGGGGTTAATCTTTTTTTTGATATAATATAACAACAAAAGATTACACCCTCCGTATGGAAGTTGTAACCAATGCAATCAAAACTCTTTCGTGCAACTTCGTGGTTATAAATAGTCAGATCTCGTTGGTAAAATAGCAATTATGGGAAGGAGCCGTTCTTCTGGCGACCGCCTTTCATAATCCCAGAATGAGCGAAAACACACACTAAATTTAGGTTTAGCATTGGCAACGTTGCTTGAAATGCCAGAAACACATAACCCAACATTTTCAGATTGTTTACAAATTTATTTTAGCAAATTTTCCTCTATTATGCATAGAATTGGTTAAAAAAGTAACAGAAAATAATAATAGCATCATTGTTTATTGAATACCTAACAAAATATGTGCTAGAAAACCTGAAAAATATGAGAAATTAAGAAAAATTCGATGTTGAAATAGTCTTCCGTTTTTCTGGACAACGGTAAGAGACCGCCAAGAAAAAAGTTCAGATTCGTAATCTACGACCTCAAAATAGGGTGCATATCAATTTTGGTGAAAATCTGACGATTTCCAGTTTTCCCAATAATTACCCTAGTTTTTTTTGTTCGGACAGTTTATATGGAAAATTTTCAGCCAAAAATACTATATAATGTATGACCAAGTGACTCTTCAAATACATATACAGGGTGTTGCTTAAAGACATGGTAATATTTAAAGGGGCGATTCTTGGACCTGTCCTAAGACAAAAATTTGCACGAATGTATGTTCTACATATCTATATTAACATCAGAGTTATTATGAAAAAATGTTTTTTTAGAATATTTTACCACACTGTATCTCAAAAGTTACTAAGTTAAGAATCTCAATGTTTACCACATACATTCATATGAAGCTTTTTCTTAGAATAAGTAGAAGAATCACTCCCTTAAATATTAGCATGTGATTAAGCAACACCCTGTATATTTACCTATTGTTTCCTTCTTTGGCTGTTGTTAAAGTTTGTTTAAATAAACCCATTAATCGCTTTGTATAATTATTGGCTTAGGTTTTTGAGTTTTTGTTACAGGAGTTTTAAGTTATTTTACACCTCCATGTTTACCTGTCCATTTTCTTCTTCAACCTCTGAAAAGAAGGTTTATATATCATTTTTATGGAAACAGAAAGACCAACAGACCTGACAAGCCAGAATGGTAAAAATATATTGAAAATAACAGTTTCTTAGATCATTGAATGATATATTATATTTTAGGTATTTCACTCAAATTCTTACATGGGTGAGGGATCATAAAAAGTATGTTGAGGAATGGATTCAGCCAGTAGTGGTTGAAAAATTTGGTTTGCACCACATAGATGCCCAGGTAATTATTTTAAAACATTACCTAAGTTCTTAGAGGCGGGCGAAACTGTTATTTTCAAATAACAGCTTGAACTGTTCTTGTTATTTAAACATAACAGTTTAAAAGTTAACAGTTGTAAAAAAGTCAAAGTATAAAAAAAAGAATGGGCACATTTAATAAACATTTTTAATATGACATAACAGACACCTATACACTTTTTGTAATTGTCTGTTTATTCATTAACAATCATATATGATCAATGGAATAAATTTGTGGTTTCAATTACACTTTATACTTTTCATTTGTGACTTCATTCAGGACTTCTACTACACTACAGAAAAATTCTACTACATTTTCATGTTTTTTTTTAGTTTTCTCTAAAACGGTATGGAAATTTGGAATAATATAGGCGGTATTAACCATTTTAGAACAAGCAAAAATTATGAAGAATACATTTTTCTCAAAATATCAATAATAAAAAAGTTTTTCCTCTTGTAAAGATAATCCAGGGACATACTGTAGATCAGTTGAAAAATAAAGGTCGATTTTTTTGGAACAACTGTTGCAACCTGGGTAGAATTTTGTCTGCAACTGTTGCAACCTTGGTAGAATTTCGTTTGTACCTGTCACTTTTATAAAGAAAAACTATTGCAAACTGTTATTGAAAAAATAACAGTTATACAATAAAGGTCGGCTTTTTAGATCAACTGTTGCAACCATGGTAGAATTTTGTTTGCAATTGTTATTTTTAGAAAGTAAAAACTATTTCAAACTGTTATTGATAAAATAACAGTTTTAAAAAAAAGGTCGATTTTTTGGATGAACTGTTGCAACTTGGGTGGAATTTTGTCTGCAACTGTTATTTTTAGAAAGTAAAAACTATTGCAAACTGTTATTGTTAAAATAACAGTTTAAAAATAAAAGTCGATTTTTTGGATGAACTGTTGCAAACTTGGTAGAATTTCGTTTGTACCTGTTATTTTTAGAAAGTAAAAACTATTGCAAGCTGTTATTGTTAAAATAACAGTTTAAAAATAAAGGTCGATTTTTTGGAATAACTGTTGCAAACTTGATAGAATTTCGTTTGTACCTGTTATTTTTAGAAAGTAAAAACTATTGCAAACTGTTATTTATAAAATAACAGTTTTAAAATAAAGGTCCATTTTTTGGATGAACTGTTGCAACCTGGGTAGAATTTTGTCTGCAACTGTTATTTTTAGAAAGTAAAAACTATTGCAAACTATTATTGTTAAAATAACAGTTTAAAAATAAAGGTCGATTTTTTGGAATAACTGTTGCAAACTTGGTAAAATTTCGTTTGTCCTGTTATTTTTAGAAAGTAAAAACTATTGCAAACTGTTATTTATAAAATAACAGTTTTAAAATAAAGATCGATTTTTTGGATGAACTGTTGCAACCTGGGTAGAATTTTGTCTGCAACTGTTATTTTTAGAAAGTAAAAACTATTTCAAACTGTTATTGATAAAATAACAGTTTTAAAATAAAGGTCGATTTTTTGGATGAACTGTTGCAAACTTGATAGAATTTCGTTTGTACCTGTTATTTTTAGAAAGCAAAAACTATTGCAAACTGTTATTGATAAAATAACAGTTTTAAAGTAAAGGTCGATTTTTTGGATGAACTGTTGCAAACTTAGAAGAATTTCGTTTGTACCTGTTATTTTTAGAAAGCAAAAACTATTGCAAACGGTTATTGATAAAATAACGGTTGTAAAATAAGTATCCAGTATTATATTTTGAAACAATAATTGTTGCAAGCTTCGTAGAGTTTTGTATTTTTTTCATATTACTAGCCATTTCTGTTACACCTCGATATTTTCGTTGGTAACTGTTATTTTTAGGAAGTAAGGACTATTCCAAACTGTTATTTATAAATACCAACTGTAAACTAGCGGCCGACTGTTATTCTTACGGAGTTTTAGGTTGAGTTTATAAGAGGTCTTGTGCACTTAGGAGCGGAAAAATTGAATTCCGAATTGCCTTCACTACAATTCGATGACTATACCTTTTCTCACTCCATTGATGAAGCTTTGGGTTTTGACAAAGAGTTAAGGGAAGTCTACGGTTATCCATCAAACCAGCCCAGTATTATAGTGGTTTTAACACAGGCTCCAATTTTGGTAAAATGGTTGATAATGGAGAAAAAATGTTAGTATGTAAAACTTGGTTTGTTTATTAATATATTATTGTTTTGTGGCGTTTTTTAGATGCTGTTGAAAAAATGGATGCTATTCTATCGCAGAATTCAACAGAGGCATTTGGACTATTAACATCCGATGTTGAAGATTTGAAAATCACAATGTGCGCTGATGCATTTATTACTTTGCTTCAAACAATAACTGAAAGGTATGTACTATATATTTAATAATTTTAAAACACCTGAAGAAATTTGTAAATATACAATCTCTGTAAAGGATAAATTTTTTATTTTTATTTTTTAAGGTATGAATGTCTTCCTCAGCCTGGTCATAGATTACAATTTTTAGAGCTACAGCTTGAATTATTAGATGATTTTAGAGTTAGGTAAGTACTGTAAACATAGTTCTTCTGGCGTAACTTTTCCTAATATGCCAGAACACGATCTGTCAAAGCAGTCAGCTCCATATTCGGAAAAGTTGCATGAGAAGAACTATACATATATTTCAATGATACATATACAATGTAGATTACTCAGATGATTCTTATTTTGTTCTTGAAAATTGTTACAAGTTACAAGATATTAGTAAAAAAAATATTGTAGTTAGATATTGGAAACCATTGGCGTACTATCTAGTCTTTAAAAAGGATTTGTATAGGCTTAACAAAAGGTAGCTCAAAAATTCAATAAAAAAATCAAAAAATAATTTTAGAATCTCCTCCTGAAGTGCTTTATTTTTTAGATTATTACAACTTGTAAATGCCGAAGAAGGCGATATAATTGATTCAAAAGTACCGATGATAGCAAATACTTTGTATTATATAGAGAATGTTTTAGTTGATTGGGGTACAATGTTGGTAAGTCTTAAATTAACGTAAATCTTGGTTTTCAAGTATTTTACTTTAGATAAAGATAAAAAAGCACTATTGTGTAACTGTGTCATGAGGTACTAGATAATTGAAGGAAAAAAGTCGTCACGGTAGTCATAGAAATGACAATCATTTAATAAATATCAACATAAAAAGACAAAAAATTGTTTTGAAAATAGACTTGTGTCTATGGACAGTTTTTACTTCTTTTCAAAAGATATTCAATTGTCATTTCAAAAGAAATGCTGCAGAGATGGGCCAGTAAGAAACTCTAATGTAAAAAACATTTTTTTTTACATATAAATTCCATTTTTACGTCTTTACCGTCTACAGATCCCTGAAGACGGTGGTATTTGTTAATACATAATAATTTATTTCACTGTATTTAGTTATTTTAAATATAGTTCAGTCATTGGGGATCAAAAAAGGGGCCTGCTTGGAAAAAAGTCCGGAAGTTTTGAAACTTTGCAGGTTTATAGGTTTTGGGGTCCCTAACAAAAAGCCATAAAATGCACATTTTCAGACTTTCCGCCGGCGCCGCCATCTTGCCAAGATGGCGCCCAAAATCGGTATTTTGTAAATGTCTCGAAAACTATGCGTTTTTCGTAAAAATTTGAAGAGAGCAAAATTAAAGAGAATAAAATTTCCTATAAAAAAGGTTATATGAAAATTTTTGCTAAAGTCAACCGTTTAGGCACAAAATCCCTGGAAATTTTACAATTTTGCGTAAAGTATGATATACATATGGTCGATTTTCCGAAATCAAATGTCGATTAGTGTTCACTAAAACTAGTTTTAGTTTAGTTTCTTCAATTTTGTCATGAAACAGCGGCGTCTTTTTAATTTGCTCATTAATTTATGAATAATTAATTGTCGTGCTGAACAGCATTCATTGCGAACTGACCACCAGGTTCAGCATTGGTTTGATTGTACCAAAGATGCCGAAGAATGGGGTTGGAAGAAAACAAAAACAGGCATTACTCCAGTCACAACGTTGAACGATCCAGCTCCAAAATCCCTATTGACATTTTTATCCTGTAAATGCAAAGCCAACAACTATGGTAAAGCCTGCGGATGTAGAAAAGCAGGATTAAAATGTTCAATGATTTGTGCATACTGCAATGGGAAATCCTGTGACAACGTCACTGAAGTGTCACTCGACGAATCTGATGAAGAGGAGTTGGACTTGCCTGTAGATATCCCTCTGGCGGTTGAAGATGAAGAGTTGGACGTATTGAGAGACCACCCTGATGAGCCCAGCACAGCAGACACGATCGACTTTGACATCAATGAGCCAGATCCGTCGGACTTGTGCAGATAAGTTAAAGTTTTGAATTTATCTAGTGGAGTAGGCCTCCGGGGAGACCACATTAAAATAAACGCGCCATCTAAATTACTTTACCTCTTGGGTGGTGTGGAAACAAGTACACATTTTCAATAATTAATATTAATTATTCATAAATTAATGAGCGAATTAATGATACGCCACTGTTTTATGACAAAATTGAAGAAACTAAACTAAAACTAGTTTTAGTGAACCCTAATCGACATTTGATTTCGGAAAATCGACTATCATATTTTACGCAAAATTGTAAAATTTCCAGGGATTTTGTGCCTAAACGGTTGACTTTAGCGAGAATTTTCATAAAACCTTTTTTATAGGAAATTTTATTCTCTTTAATTTTGCTCTCCTCAAATTTTTGCGAAAAACGCATAGTTTTCGAGATATTCATAAAATACCGATTTTGGGCGCCATCTTGGCAAGATGGCGGCGCCGGCGGCAAATCTGGAAATGTGCATTTTATGGATTTTAGTTAGGGACCCCAAAACCTATAAACCTGCAAAGTTGCAAAACTTCCGGACTTTTTTCCAAGCAAAAATCCCCAATGACTGAACTAATTGGTAGAAGCAATAGAAAGTCTATGAAGAATGATATAATTTTTTTAAATTTTTTTGATAGTTTTTACATTTTTTGACATCCCTGAATAATATCTAGTAATACAATAATTTTTTTATCTACAACCGTTTAGTTATAACGTTTTTACATCACTATTTTTTTAGTATTTCAGTTACGATATGAGATTCATAACACAACTAGTGGTGTTATGAATCTATAACACTAGTTTTTATAATAATGAAAAACAACTATGTGACAAATGTCATAGTTAAAGGTGTTGAAGGTGGGCGACTAATAAACAAAAATTAAAACAGCATTTTCTTATTTTTCGGTTGTAGATAAAACGTTGTACATGACACGTGCGTCTAAACATGATTACAACTTACAACACTCGTGTAATCGTTCACACTCATTGTAATCATGTTCATAAACACACTTGTACTGTAAATAACTATTATAGATTTCCTTTATATCAAAAATAAATGCTTTTTTAGCATTTTTTGAATCTGTATTATTACAAAAACCAACTCGAAGAGTCTAAGAAACTGCATACATCACCTTCGATGAACGACTTTGATGACGAGTCCACTCTCGATTTGGAATCCGAGTCGATTTTTGCAGAAACTCTGTCCTTGTACAGGCACTTTAGAAGGGACTTGTTATGCGGGTTATCGGAGAAAGTAATAAGTGAAATAAAAAAGTGTAGCTGGAACTATCGACGAGAAAGGTTAGGTTATAATCTACAGTTCGTTTCCATATACATATAACTATATATACTCAGCCTAATCTCTAAAAAGTGAAGCCCAAACAGTGAAAGAGAAATATGGAATTCTGCATAAGTCTATTTCACCCGGATATCCATTTAACCGCGCATGCCTTACCTGAAGAAGTTTTCATTGGTCGGTCGGTGTTTTTAAAGGGAAGTGGTTGACTGACATTTCACCTAACCTTCAATTTTATTTATATTTTTATTATTTATAACCTTTGAATAAGAAGACTAAAGAAGGAGCATATCAAAAATCTTAGGTCCACCGCGATGGGACTCACTCAAATATAGCCAACTTAAATTCCGGTTTATCTAGTGCTGTTCTAATTTTATTTAAAAAATGTAAAACTATGATGTAGGGTAGACCTGGGGTAGACTCGCAATATTGTTTTTATTTTACGTTATGAATAAATGTTGGTAGTTATTAAAATTGTTATAAAAACATATTATTATAATAAAAATAGATAAGTTTTAATGATTATTAACACAAACATCCGATACGCTACTGAAGATGCTACTGAAGCAGGTAAGTCAAATTGACGTATCTGAATTCTTTGACATCTAATCTTTGACAAGTAGTAAATAAAAGCAAAAATGCAAGAAAAAATATATAATTAGTTAATTTAAGTGAATTTCATAAATGATCAGTTTACTACACGTATGTATATTATATAGTCACTTACTATCGAAAAGTTGTTCCATTATTTCATTCGATTTTTGCCGAAATCTACCGCACGCTACACAACCAACTATTTTAGAGTCTTTTTCGATAAATTGCGATAGTGTCACTGTTAATTTAAGTTCTGCCACAATTTCCATCTAGATTTACTACCTTTATACAACTATCAGTAGTAGAATAAATAATAAATAACATAAAATAAGCTCCGTAAAGACTGACAAATCCACAAAATTTCAAATCAAATTCAAATGTGTCAAATGAATCGTCAAACAGAACTGTCAAGGATCCCCACCCTAGAGTCCTTTTTCCGCCCACCATGCATGAATACATGGATAGCATTATGCTCCTTCCTTAGTCTTCTTATTCAAAGTTTATAACACATTATCATGGAGTTGGAAAAATATCAAAAAAATAGTTGGAAACAATAAACTAAAGAAAATCACGCTTTTACGCGCACAAATAAAAGGTAATCCAAACAGAACTAAAACAACAATCGATCGGAGTTTGGCGCAATCGCAGTTCAATCGATATCCGGGTGAAATAGACTTAGGCAGCATTAATATGGAGCTGAGTTATGTTGTCTTTTTCTTACGGCACGGAAACAACACACGGCGTTAAATAGGGAACACTGAGTATATTTCAGTTATATGTATATGTTCGTTTCATGCAATGACTAAAGAATCCAAGGACAAATAACATCCGAGAGCAAATTGTTACGACGTCACCAATCAGTGCCGTGGAACATATTTTTCTTAACTTAGCTATTTGAAGAGATATTTATATTTTTTAAGAAATTTTTTAACTACGCCTATGGTGTATGCAGTGGTATCATACTAATTAATTACGAAAAAAAAACGTATTAAACTGTTAACAAAAGGTATAAAACTAGTATCGACGTATAGCACAGATCAAGTACATATAATTTCGGAAAAATAATTATCGAATTCAATAAGAAAACGCTAGAAAGGTGGAGCGGACTGTTTATTTACCTATGAAACGTAACTCCTTACTCTTTCTTATCGTTGGGGACTACTAATCATTGTAATAAGGTTTATACAAAGTTCCCTATACACAAACTAATAAAAATCGCTAAAATTGTCGCTGATGAGTATGATGACCAGCTGATGACTCATTCGTCGCCATCAAAAAAATGGCGTCTAAGGTCACAAATTCTGCTGCAGCCCGTATATGGGCGTTACATGTCCTTATATTCTTCAGTAATTGCTTGATACGAACTATACCTAATTAAAAAAAAGGAAAATCTTATGGGACTTTTTAATTTATTAGGTGGTCATCAATGAAAGTACTGAAAGAATTTAGAAGTCTATCGTTAACGCCTTCGGCGTGTCCACTGTTTGACGTTTTAGCTAAAAGGTTGCATCAGTTGGAGAAAAAATTGCAAAGTCGATTATTTACCATAGGTAACAGAAATATACCCTGCGATTGAATGGAAATGACGTCATATTAGGCGTAGAAGTAACATTTTAATTGAAACTTTACAATCTATCATTAAATTAAAATTAGCTAGTTTTCCACCACAAAACAAGTACCATACGGTTAAAAAATGGTGTCATAATAGCCTTTTAAATGACAATTATATATATAATATATAATATATACTGATCGGCATACAAATTTTTTTTAAAATGTCTAAAGACATAATTAAAATAGAAAAAATAAAATCCTATCTGTTAATTTTTAATAAATAATATAAAGGGATCCTTCGTCATTTCAAAGCTTGCTGTGACGCCGTTTTTAACGTTTAACAAGGACTTTCTATAGCTCATGAACGGGTGTTACTATCAGGAACATCTCAGTGATACATAAATTAAAGCTTAAATTGAAATGTTATTTCTGTGCCTACTATTACGTTATTTTTATTTGATCATACAACAAGTTGAAGGTAGAATAAAAACAGTAAATATTACAGTGTGGAGAAATATAGCGACACAATTGGATACCTACTTGTTTGAAGATTTGGTTATGGATAACCGTTTCAATGATGGAGGTGCCCTACAACTAAAATTTGACGTTACTCGAAATTTGCTGCCTTTATTTTCGCAATACACTGATACTCCTGCCAACTATTTTACACAGTGAGTTCTTATTTAACAAATCTTATATTTTTTTATTCAAGTATACAGGGTTGTTCACCACATATGACACGGAGTATTGCAACTAAACGATTAGATTTTTGCAAACTGGAAGTTGTGGGTTAAAAATAAAATTTATAAGGTGTTACTTTTTACCACACTGTCTAATACACATACAAAATTCAGTTTTTTAGTATTTGAAGTAATTATTATTAATCAACGTAAACAGTCAATTAATGTAGTTTGAATACTGGGATCATATTAATTGGTCCTTTTTAACAAAATATATTTAAACATTTATTTTTTATTTTTTTTTTAATGAAATAGGGAAGTGTATCGACAATATTAGTATCTGTACTCTTTGTAAATTTGTTACATCTTTAAAAACAATCTAAAATGTCAATATTCCATGGGTATAGTAATAAATGAGGTCTAAATTATAAGAAAATGCATTTTTTATGAAAACTTCAAGAGATAGGTAAAAAATAGTATAATACTGTTTGATAGACAAGACGATTGATGCAAATTGTGCATCTGATTCTCGTTAAATATACAGGGTGTTCCATTTAAATTAAACAAGGTATTGCCGTTTAAAGCTAGTAATTATTTAATAGAAATTTTTAGACACTCTGTATGAGGTAGTATTTTGTTTATTATTGCAACACAATACCTGAAAAATAAATAAACTTCAGTAAATATTTAGTATTAAAAACTTGCAATACCCTTGGAGGAATGAAGCCTTAACATTTTTACTGCAATTTCATAAAATTGAGAATATTTCAAAAACGGTAAGGTTTAAGTGTGATAAACCTTAATCAAATTTACCTTTATTTCAATCGTAGAAACTAAAAATAGAATAATATACATAATGTTCCGTTCAAAAAAATACAACTATAATATTTTTTACTTATTTGGGACACTCTGTATCTTGTAAAAATCTAATTATTTAGCTGCAATACTCCGTGTCGTATGTCGTAAACAACTCTGGATAGTTTATCCAGCGACAGAATATATTATGGTTTCTGCTGGTTGAATAAAAACAATATTATTTCTTTCATTTATTTTGCTGAAATTACAAATATTCTGATATAATTACCACAGAATAATTGTCCTACTTTTGAAGTAGGCGTCCCAAAATTTTTTCGTTTGAAGTCACATATTTTGACAAATATACTTCCACAACTACAATTTTCCGACACTACATTTTGTTTTACAGACTAATAGAGTCATGCAACTTGCTCAACCTGACCAAAGGTTCAGCATTGTTGCTAAGAGAGACTATTTTGGCACTCGAAGGCGCCACAGGGGTTGAAGATACCAGGCCAAAAACGTTGAAAGAGATTGGTGTTAGTAACTTTGGCCCGAAAATGGCCGTGAAAATATTGAACCAGAGAACAGACATTACAGTGAATAGGCTAGACGTGGATTGAGGTTTTATTTTTTTGTTTACCGTACTATCAACAAAAAAACGCCGGCTGGGTAGCTTTTGAAATTCTGCATTGTCGTAATTTCACATATTTTACGTACGATAATTTGTGATGTTTTTTAGATTTATATTTCAGATTTTTTTACCAGTCCGTACTTGAAAAACTAAAACTTTATTCATAAAAGGGGTATTCATTTTCTATGTTCAAGTGAAAAAATGAAGCATTTGAAAATATTAGAGATATACATATATTTGTTATATTATGTTCTAATATATTTATTTATTTATTTTTATACATTAAAACTATCTTAGGACAAGGATTAACTTTACATAAAGTAATAATCATTATAGCTTTTAAAAATTACTGTAAAAAGGTGATAATTTTTGTTTTGTATAGGTGCTTGTTATAATTTATTGGATATTGTTGGTGAATTTTTTAAGTATACCAAATAAAAGTATTTTTACAGACTTGGATCTATTTTTGATTATCTGTAGTACGATAATAAGTTAATAAATTTTCTTTTAAAACTTTATATATTGTTTTAGTTACTATTAACTACACACACCGGAAAAATCTAGGGATATCATTTTATTAAAGTTAAAAATAAATGTTTTGAATAAACAACCACATATGTGTAGGCCGATTCTTTCTACTTCGATTGAAACAAAGTAGTCACACTAGTTATTTCTAAATTTGGGATATTTGCAGAAGCGTTTGTGCATTTTTTGTCAAATGTATAAAAAGCACCAAGCATCAATTGTTCGAATTTAACCTATACTGTCTATGTTTTTATGATACCTGACCAGAATTCATTCAAATAACTCTGTTTAGTATTAAACGACATTATGGAGCGTAGACATCTTAACAGAGACGAAATGCTAAGGCCCATGGGCATGCTCGAAGCTGGAATGCGCCAAATCGACGTAGCTAGAGCATTAAATACAATGCAAAGTGTAATATTGCGATTAAGTGCACTCTGCCGTGAAAGTGGTGATGTTGCAGAAAGGCACACAGGGCGACATCGCATTACTACCCCTCAGCAAGATCATTTTTTCAATTAAATGCTCGACGCCGACCGACTCTTATAGCACCAGAGCTTAATTTAATTCTCCAGGAAACACATAACACGTACTATTTTATCTACTATTTTTGATAGATATAAGGCAATTTTAACAGTTGTTATGGAAAAAAATCAACTATTTATTGTTTATATTAAATTGTATTTAAATTAATACATCTGGCACATTTTTTTTAATACCTACTTAATTATTCTCCTAACCCTCCATAAACCGTTTGAACAATTTCATTTCGTCCATTCTCTTAACAACCCCTATAGACTCCTCCAAGTCTTTTATGCTCCTGTTTAGACACTCTATGCTCTTTTTGTGCTCCAACCTCATACTTTTCGGCGACCTTAACACCTGTTCGGCCTTATTAATAACTTCTAAAAAGTCTTCCTCGTCTTCAATTACTTCTAACGATCTTTTCTTAGTTTTAGAGAAAGTGTCATGAAGATAGTCCTTCTCTAATTTTTCTTCTATGGTTTTCTTGTAACCTTCTATTAAAGGATTGTTTCTGTAGAACCACTCGCTGGTGCTGTATTCGTTTAACGATTCCACGTCATATACGACTACAAACGTCCTAAAAACATCCTCGTACATGAATTTTTTCGGTAGGTCGAAATCTTGTTCCTTTAGTTTTTCCGTTGCGATGATTTCTATGGCTTGCGTCCATAGAATCGTGTCGTAGCGTTCGTCTCTGATGGTCTGTATTAGGACGTCTAGTATGTTGACGTATGGTTCTTTGGGATTTTGAAAAACTTCCGTACAGTACTTGGAGACGGCTAGTATTAGGTCGGTTTCGTTATGAGGAGGCCAGTTTTCTAAGAATTTCGGGAGTTTTAGACTTTTCATTAGTCGCTGAAGGTGGTCTTCGTAACTTGGGTGTGTCCAAAAGTTAGGAAAATATCTGTAGAAAAAATATAGGAGTAAAAACACAGATTATAAACTTTGCTTTTCGTGGTTCTAATTTTCAGAATCGGGCACTAGTTAGGTTACTAGTTTGCGCACATAGCACGCCCACTTATGGCCTCTAAAATTGAGCATAGTGCTTGACCGGCACATTAGAGAGATATCGGAAAACCGAATAGCGTCATGCAGTATTTACGCGTACCTTATCATGGTTACGATATGCGCGAGTCAACTTTTAACGCAACGCCAGCTAATAACGTTACCGTCTGACGTAATTGCGGATCAATTACACCAAGCGCTATTTCTAAATAACGTTTAAAAATTGCTTAAATGGGCACGTGCGGGTATTTGACAACCGGGTCGGCCGGCGAGATCTTTTATTTTAGGTTATGTTTGAATTGTTTTGAATTATTACTTTAGTTTTATTAGGTAATTTGATATTTAAGTAGCTGGGATTAGTTTTAATTAAATAAATATGGCCCAAAATATGGATTCCACCTCTTCCAATATTAAAGAATCTATAAAGAGGCTTAGGTTTACAGCAGATGACGACTTTGCCCTTCTAAGAGAATTTGTTGCTTGTTGCCCTAAACCCACTGGCAGACGTTTAACAATAAAGCACTGAAAATAAGCACTTTAGCCCTTTAGTTTTAAAATACCTAGTAAACAAAACAATTTCAAAGTTTTAAATTCAAAGTTGGTTAAGTTTAAACAGCGGACGCGACGCGAACAGAATTCTTTCCGATCCGATAACTATAAATGAAGAGAGTTAATACCACCTCACGTAAAGGAAATAACACCTGGCCTTATTAACGTCCATGCACGCTATTCGGTTTAGCGATATCTCTCTATTACGCTGTTTATTGTTATTTTGCGCGAGTTTATTTTTGCGCACAGGAAATTTTACTCGTTTGCACATCGTCGTAAAGATAAGATTTTTATCTGTTTACATATAATATACTTAATCTGTGGTAAAAATGACACTTTTTGTGGCGCGACTGTACGTTTGGCCACAACGACATACAGCCAAGTCACAAAAATTTATTTTTACTCCGAATAAAACAGGCGATTTTTTCAAACGCCACAAATAATTTCTTAAACAATTTCAAACGTTCTAAGTAATATAAAAATATTAAAAAGTCATATTATCTTGTACCATAGATAAATAAAGCAAGTTTAGATCGGAAAGTGCCCATAAGGATAATGTAAACGCTATTTGGCGCTATTCTTGCAACGGTCGCGACCCAAAGCTTTTGATAATTTCAGATCGGCTCGGCTTTTTCCGGAATTATGTCGCTAAATATTATCTATTCAAATTTATTATTATTTTCTTTTATTTTATAAATATAATACAGTGTGTTGCGTACAAGAAACTTTATTTCATATAAGGACATGCATGAAATACCTACGAAACATTGGAAACCGACGTTATGCTACGATCCACGATGGTTTTTGCAGTTCACAGTTCACAACACAGTTTTTTAGTTTTTAATGCCACTTTTTCACAATTATCACGGGTTTGAGTAAGTAAAATTTAAATTAAACTCACAAGACAGCGATAATTACTTTGAGAATGGATGCTTTAAACACTTTTCAGTATTTTTTCAATGAGGGCGGTTTAAATTTTGAAAGATTTTATAATTTTTGAAGATTCCGACTTTGACAAGAGAAAATTATTTCTATTATTGTTTGCGGTTGTTCTTAGAAACCGCTATAGCAGCGCCAGATCGCGTACAACGGTCGCGACCCAAAACAATTATATATTTTGACGGGATTTCCAACCTAAATTTATTTCCTTTATCTATTCCTTTATGTAATTATATATCGAGAAACTATGGTTACGCTCGTTGAATTTGACACTTTATGTCAATTTGATATATATTTTCGTACTTTTATGCTTAGGCGCAAAAGTGCTTTACTTTTATGCCTAGGCGTTAAAATTACTTTTATATTGTCAATTGCGTCGCAAAAAAAATTATCTAGTACTTTTGTGACGTTTGAAAAAAAAATATTTTTTTTATTAAGTTATGGGCCAATTATAACGCCACATATCAAGTAAAAGTACAAAAAAAAATAATTAACCTAAAAACTAACCTATAATCGCAAGGTAAAAAATCTGGAACTTTGTCTGGCAAGTGATCTCGAAAAACTTCCGGAAATGGAGCAAATTCTTTTCTTTTACTATCCATGACTATTTTGGTCAGCAACTGTAGTCCTTCATTATACAGGTTGATCAAAATATTGGGGTCCCTCATGCAAAAGTTGTACTCGTGGTTCCACTTGGCGTAGCTTTCTAATAAAAAAAATATAAATAAAAATTAAAAATATATATTTTCGAAGAAAAATAGGATAAACAATGAAGGAAAAAAGTACTAGGTAATAACATCTTGGAATAATTATTATATTTTTAATATAAATATTAAAGATAGGTATAAATCGTACTAAAAATGAGACTGAACAAACCTGCTTTTTTCCATATTTCTGTGCATAAATTCCTCATGAGGAACGTATACAGGGTGTCCATTTCGAGAGGTGGATATTTTTCTATTTTCTTTGCTAAGAAAATAAAGCCGTTGTCTATAACACTGGGCAGGACTTGTCCATATAAATTACAACTAAAAACAAATAAAAAATATTAACCTTAGGGATGTATGTACTAAATATATCGTATCAATTTTTTTTTAATTTAAATATCGAAAAATGATATATCGATTTTTCTTCGACAACATCCCTACTAACAACAGTGTTTGCGGTACTGACGAGGAATGGGCAATAATGGATTTTACCCACTAATGAGTTATCGCAATTCATCTATCGACATAGTTTAGTTATCGATAAAATATATCGATATGTATCGATAATTTTGAACTCACTTATTGTTACTCCATATATCATCGATAAATTATCGATATATCGGAAAAAATCCATTCCTAATCATAAGTATCCAGCTTTGAATAAGAAGACTAAGGAAGGAGCATAATGCTATCCATGTATTCATGCATGGTGGGCGGAAAAAGGACTCTAGGGTGGGGATCCTTGACAGTTCTGTTTGACGATTCTATTTATTCTACTACTGATAGTTGTATAAAGGTAGTAAATCTAGATGGAAATTGGGGCAGAACTTAAATTAACAGTGACACTATCGCGATTTATCGAAAAAGACTCTAAAATAGTTGGTTGTGTAGCGTGCGGTAGATCTCGGCAAAAATCGAGTGAAATAATGGAACTTTTCGCTAGTAAGTAACTATATAATATACATACGTGTAGTAAACCGATCATTTATGAAATTCACTTAAATTAACTAATTATATATTTTTTCTTGCATTTTTGCTTTTATTTACTACTTGTCAAAGAATTTAGATACGTCAATTTGACTTACCTGCTTCAGTAGCGTATCAGATGTTTATGGTTATAAATAATTATTATAACTTATCTATTTTTATTAGAATTTTATATTTTTATAACAATTTAATTAACTACCAACATTTATTCACAACGTAAAATAATAAAAAAAATTATTGAGTCTACCCCACGTCTACCGTACATCATAGTTTTACATTTTTTAAATAAAATTAGAACGGCACTGATAAACCGGAATTTAAGTCGGCCATATTTGAGGCCCATCGCCGTGCACCTAAGATTTTTGATATGCTCCTTCCTGAGTGTTCTTATTCAAAGGTATCCAGTATAAAAAAATATACACACAAAAATAAATTTCATTATATCGAAAATTATCGATATATCAATATCTCCATTGTTAGCTATAATATCGATAGTTATAAATAAACGATTCTTGTGGAAATGTTATCAATACATCGATAATTTTCTAGTAATAATAATCCCTAGCACTGACCTGTATATGACGTAATCCGACACTACACCAGTTTCCTGAAGTTTTTCCAGGTACTCCTCAGAGTTTGACGTATCCTCCAGAATAATAATGACAGGTACTTTGACGTAAACCCCGAAATTTTTCAAGTTCTCCACTATGCGCCTTTGGAACAACGGGTTGAAGTTTTTCCCTACGAAAACAAAACCGTTGGCATCACTGCTTCTCACGTCTAGGCCTTGCTGCTTTTCCACGCAGTAAGTGACGGTTTTGTGGTTCTCTATGTACTGCGTGGTACCGTGCTTGGTTAGTTCCCAGCCAGCGTAGGATTTTAAGGTTTCTTCTAGTTTGTGTAAACCGTTGATCATTTCGTCTACATCTAAAAATTATCTTAGTATTACATATGGAGTGTAAAAATGAGGGAAAACATTACCCCAAAATGCTTTGTTTTTATTTTTTAGACTATAAAACAATTATTTTTATATATTAGAGGCCCAGTCTATTGCTGCTGAATAAAAATCGATAATTTATTTCGACAATTTAAGTATGTAACACAAAATGGCGGTATTCATTTAAAATGAGGAAGTTGTTGTCAACTTCCGGTATTTCCGGAAGTGCCGCCCTACTGAAAATATTTTTAATCAATAGATCTCATTAGAGATGTGTAGTTCGTGAACGAACTAGTTCCAATGAACTATTCCGACCCCGGAATGAAAGGAACTAGTTCCTGGTTTCTCAAAGAACTAGTTCCTCAGGACCTGTTCCGGGATCGAGACTGTGACCGATACAGAATAATATGCGACGGCGACGGATCGGCTAGCGCGCGTAGCCCGATGGTAGGCAGGTGTGAGGAGTGCCAGCCGTAAGTTATCGAATCCGGACCTAGAGGAACTAAACTAAATAAAAGACTAGTTTACGTACGAACGGATCGGGCCAGCGCGATCGATGCTAGGCAGGAGTGGGGAGTGCCAGCCGTATGTTATCGGATCCGGACCTAAAGGAACTAGAGGAACTAAATAAAAGACTAGTTTACGTATGGATCAGCCAGCGCGATTTATGCTAGGCAGGCGTGGGGAGTGCCAGCCGTATGTTATCGGATCCGGACATAGGGGAACTATTAAAAGACTAGTTCACGGGAATCTATTCAGTCGGCAGATCCGAGATATAATACAAGGCGACAACGATGGATTCGGCCTTGTTTATTGCCACAGCCGGCGCGGCGCAATTACCACAGAAAATTGTCGTGGATACTGTTTTTGATTTTTAGTTTGTTTTTTAAATATTTTATGGGAATGTTTCACTTTAGGTCCCTAAAATTAAGAAATAACTTATAAAACAAACTAGATATTCTGAATTTTTAGCTTGAAGTGAGAAAAACGCAATTTTTCGTAAACTTTTTGTAATATTTGCTCCAATTGATTTGTGATATAGTTTTTTAAATTCTGATTTGAGTTTTTTTTTATTTTTTTTATCTGCAATAAAACTTACCTATACGTTTTTAACATACACAGTTACACGTCTCGTTATATCTCCGTACATTATAATAATTATATAGATCATACTGTGAATAGTTCTGACTGACAACGAAACGCATTAGCAAGCAAGGGGGATGTCAATGTAAGACGGGAACTATTGTGAAGTAAAGACCTAGTTCAAGGAACTATTCCTCTGGAGGAACTAGAACTAAGGAACTAGTTCCTCCCAAGGAACTAGAATTCCCACCTCTAGATCTCATTGTGAAACAATGATGTGCTAAAAACATCCGATCTAGATATTGTAGGTCTCTAGAAACTTCTAATGCACGCTTAGCCTGAGACACCCTGTTCTATAAAACGATATTATGCAATGTATACGACATGGACTAACCTGGAATAGATATCACAACTTTCCAATAAATATGTTGGTGCCATTTTTCTTTGATTTCGCACAGCCTTCGTCTCAATGCGGAATAAGTGAGATAAAATAAATTTAATTTTACTGTAGGCTGATCTTCAACAACGGGAATATCCAAGGGGCGACCTAACTTATACCTAAAAATTGTTTAATTATACAGGGTGACCCAGAAATAAGCGCAAGTATTTTAAGGGGTGATAGATCTCGATAAAAGAAACATAATACCGTATGATCGAAAAAAAATGGCGTCCAGTTGGCTGGGAAATGACGATCGATGACATTTCCCATATAAATTTACATATAAAATGACAGCGCTCTTCATTTCCCAGCCAACTGGACGCCGTTTTTTCTCGATCATACGGTATTTATTTTCTCTTTATCGTTTTTAAAATAAGTCCAAAATAACGGAGTTATTTTACTTTGAAAATTTAAAAAAAAAAACGTTTTTTTTGCTCAAATTTTGAGAACCACTGGATCTTTTCTGGATTTTTTTTGTAAATTTAATCTAATACCTATGCTGCCATATTATCAAGAAATTATGTTTTTTAACTAAAAAAAATTCCAAAAAAATTTTTCACAAAAAAACCTTTTTGTGGCGTTATCACTAATGATTAGTTCAGTGCAGAGAATATCATATTGCTTACCTTTTCATGTAACTCAGAGTTAAATCTTGCGTTTTCGAATAGAAATCTTTGGCACACTGGCTCACGTCCTTGTCATTGACCCATATAGGAATGCAGTCCATAGCCTTACGTTTCTTCTTCCTCCTAAGCACAATGGTCCGCCATTTTCTAAATACTTTCAATACAATTCTATTTCGAATGTTCGTTTTTATCCTGTTCAGGGCCGCATCTTTAATACCTTGGTCTACTTGATCAATCTAATAAGGTCATAAAAAAACACGTCACAGTAATCCCAGAAATATAGTTTCAATTCAGTATTTACTAGGTCTATAACTATATCTTGTCAATGGAAACTGATGGCCAGTTCTTCAAAAGTATTTTTTGAACTGATTTTTTTTTCTTTCTCAAACTAATTTTCTACATTTTTTACATGTCCAGACGCAGTTTCTACGCATCGTTACCCAACCCTGGACTTAGTAAATATCAAACTGAAACTATATTTCTTCGCCTACCGTGACGTTAAAATATAGAAATTATTTTCTTACCAGTTCCTTCAAAACCAGCTTCACAGATCTCTTAATTTCCATCTGTCTTTGTTTTTCTTCTATTTCTTTTTGTCTTTCTAATTCTCTTTCTTTCCTTTTCCTTTCTTCCTCCAAAATTCGTTTTTCTTCGGCTATTCTTCGTTTTTCTTCACGCATTCTCCTTTCCTCTTCTTCCCGTTTTCTCCTCTCTACTTCTAGGCGTCTTCTTATTTGTTCTTCTTCAATTTTTCTTTGATTTTCCTCTTCTTCCTTGCGTCGTCGTTCATCTTCCATACGCTCCAAGTCTTCGTCCATTTCTGTTTCTTCATCTTCGTCTAACTCGCTTTCTTCTTCTTTAAGTTGTGTTGCATTTTCGTCAGGCTTAGGGTCGATCATCTTCGTTTTGTTGTCTTCAATTTGGGGTGGGGTTGTTTTAAACCTTAAAGCGAATATATTGGGAACCTCTGAAGTTTTTTGAGGCTTCAGGTTGAACTGAAATCCTCCCATTTTTGTCTCGGTTTTTGGTGGTTGAGTAACTTTTTCCGCAAAAATATTGGGGGTTGGTTCTATTGCAGGAATCTTAACGTCCGGAGGCTAAAAAAAGTTAAGAATTTCATGTAGAATTCATAAATCAAAAAATATAGAGGATGTTCCTTTTTGAAAATTAACATATTGACATCCGCTTCCGACTAGGGTATAGGCAAATACACACACCGGAAAAATCTAGGGATATAATTTTATTAAAGTTAAAAATAAATGTTTTGAATAAACAACCACATATTTGTAGGCCGATTCTTTCTACTTCGATTGAAACGAAGTAGTCACACTAGTTATTTCTAAATTTGGGATATTTGCAGAAGTGTTTGTGCATTTTTTGTCAAATGTATAAAAAGCACCTAGCATCAATTGTTCGAATTTAACCTGTACTGACTATGTTTTTATGATAATTGGCCAGAATTCATTCAAATAACTCTGTTTAGTATTAAAGGACATTATGGAGCGTAGACATCTTAACAGAGACGAAATGCTAAGGGCCATGGTTATGCTTGAAGCTAGAATGCGCCAAATTGATGTAGCTAGAGCATTAAATACAACGCAAAGTGTAATGTCGCGATTAAGTGCACGCTACCGTGAAAGTGGTGATGTTGCTGAAAGGCACACAAGGCGACATCGCATTACTACCCCTCAGCAAGATCATTTTTTACATTTAAATGCTCGACGCCGACCGACTCTTACAGCACCAGAGCTTAGTTTAATTCTCCAGGAAACACATAATGTAACCGTTAGTCCTGACACTGTTCGCAATAGATTAAGAGAGGTCAACTTAAGAAACAGACGCCTCTGGAGAGCTCAACCCTTAACGAGAGGAAATCGAGAGGTACGATATTTGTGGGCTCAAGATCATGTTCAGTGGTCGAATGAACAATGGGCCAATGTTCTCTTTACAGATGAGTCACGCTTTGGAATTCATCCGGATTCGAGAAGGCTTAGGGTATGGAGAGAACCGGGAAATCTTATTCGGTTGGATCATGTTCAGAAGTGCACCCTTATCAAGGCGGTACAGTTATGGTCTGGGGAGGAGTCCAGTTAGGCCGAAAAACCGATCTCGTTTTTCTTGAAAGGTTTCTAACAGGAATCACATATCATGATTTAATTTTTGAGCCTGTCGTGTTACCATATGCCAATGATTTTGAGAGAAACTTCATTCTCATGCATGACAATGCACGGCCTCATACAACCAGAGTGGTAAGTGAGTTTATCAATGCTCATCAATTAAACATCTTACCCTGGCCGGCACAATCTCCTGACCTCAACCCCATCGAGCACGTATGGGACGCGGTCCAAAGAAGAATTTTGAGAATGGGTATGCCTCGTGAAACTCGTAGGGATCTGGTTCAGGCCGTGAATGCAGCGTGGCAGGCTGTACCTCAAGAAGAGATCGACAACCTGATCAGGACCATGGAGAGACGATGTAGGGCTGTAATAAACAGTAGAGGAGGCCATACCCTTTATTAGTAAAATGGTTTTATCTTTTTTTTTTTAATTCACAGTTTAGAATTTAAAAAAATGTGTGTATTTTTTTGAGTTCAATAAAAATCAAGGTAAATTTGAAAAATTCGGTAAATTTCGCATTTTTATTTCCAATACGTCCTGTAAACTATTTGTTTATTTTAATTTTATTATATCAGAAATGCAAATAATAAAATTACTGACGATGGCTGGATAAAATTGTAATATCCCTAGACTTTTCCGGTGTGTGTATTTGCAAAATCTATTGTATAAAATTCTAGAGTCACAGTTTTTTTTACTATACTCCTCCGAAACGGCTTAACCGATTTTGATGAAATTTTATATGTATATTCAGTAGGTCTGAGAATAGGTTGTTATCTATTATTATACCCCTAAGTGATCAGGGTGGTCCACCACAATTTTTTAATTTTTTTATTTAATTGTTTAAATATTTTTCAAAGAACAAACATGTACGCCACTGACTTTCTTTATTTTGATATCAACATTATGTAGGCCGTTTAAAGCCAATTAAAAGTTACCTGTTGATATTTCGTCGAATTCAGCCTCCTTGATGAGATAAACGCAATTTTGTTAATCAAAATTGATAGTCTTATCAGCGTTTTTTTATCTTTTGATTGCTTTTTCAAAATGCCAACAACATCACCTACTTCAAATAATAAAGGCATTTTGAAAAAGCATTTAAAAGATAAAAAAAACGCTGCTAAGACTATCAAAATGTTGATCTAATAACAATTTGACCTGTATACTATTACGTCAAAAGCAACTTTTTTCCAAAGCCTACCATGACTTCACTGAATCATCGTTTATTGTTGAATCATCGTTTCTCCCCACGAGAGATGGCACATGTTTTTTACACCCTGTACATTATTTACTTACCTTTGACAAATTACTAGCCGTAAAAATATTGGTTTCTTCTTTCACACTAGGCTGTACTTTAAAAATATTCACAATAGGGTCACTACTAGTAGTTGTAACAGATTTAAAAATATTCTCTTTTGCTTGAATCTCACTAGTATCTTTCTTGATTTGAAAAATATTTTCATCTTTGTTCTTGAATATGTTCTCTTCCTTTTTCAAGTTTGTAGCAAATATGTTCTCTTTCTTCTGAGCGAAAATATTGTCAGGTTCTATCTTGTTCTGTCCAAAAACACTGAATTCATTTTGAGAAACGAACGGACTTGTGTCTTGATCGAATATACTATCAGGCTCTGTTTTGGACTTTGTCTCGAAAATATTCGTTTGAGGACGCGAAATAGTTGTTTTTTTAGTGACAGGTATGGAGGTAACATTTTTCCTTTCCGGAGTAGATTCTCTGAAATATTTAGCAAGTTAAAACAAGTTCTAAGCTTGATTTTCATGCATCCGTTATCCGACGATACGATATTAATTTTATTGGTTGAATTTAAAGACTTCGATTGGTTAGAAAATTACGCAGTTTTTAAATTTATTGCATTTTTATGCCTCCGTTCATCGGATATACGATTGGTGTCATTTTATGTTTTCATTTCCATAACGATTTCGCTGTTTTACTTATAGTCTAAGAGCTGGCAACGTTTTCGGGAAAGGATTTTAAGAAAACTGGTTCTTTAATATATCTTTTGTTATGCTCTCCTGAACAGAGTAAGAGCCGTTGCACACACGCCGGAACCGGATAGACGGCACCGGCTACCCGGTTTCACTATGACCTATCACACTAGTCCGATTTTACACCCGGTTTGAGCCAGTACAATTGCATTTTTGATCGCGACGCCGACGAGACGGTATAGAACGTGAACATATTATTGTTTTGTGGTTTTGAATCGTCGCTGTCGTTATTAGAAAAGAAAAGCAGGGAAAATCATCTTTCAGTTTGATGCAAATTTCTCTCCATACTTGTATTCGTACTCCGTACTTGTTTCGTTTTTGTATTTTTATAAATACAAGGTTTTATGCCAGTGGACTGGTCTGGCTTCAAAAGTGGTATTAAAAAACTTAGTATCTACTACCAAAACACCACTTGCCGTCGCTATAGTTAACTTACAACGTACAAATTTTACAAATTTCCAATAATGCGAAACGCAAAGTCTCTCTCATATGAACGAAACCGGGCGACTAGGACGGACAAGTGTGAAAGCGTCAATCTAAAACAATGTACTACTACGAGTTCGGACAGGACGGCGCGCCGTCCGGCGACCGTGCTGGCAGTGGTGGTATCCGGTGACAACCCGGCGCCAATCCGATTCTTGTCCGGCACCGGCTCGTGTGAAAGCTCCCATAAGATGCTATGCACCTCATCGCCGGACGGCCGGCACCGTCTATCCGGTTCCGGCGTGTGTGCAACGGCTCTAAGGACCGTCTGGCTGCCGGTAGACGTTGCGTTCACTACTGCGCATCATATTATGTATTCAACATCTGTTCACTACTGCGCATCACAAATTCGCTCTGTATTTCAGGAACTAAGAAGGCTAGGACAAACCTATGTGTAGCATATTTAGTTTTATAAAAAAGTAGCAAAGTATAGTGTGAAAATCGCATCATTGTATCTCTTCTCATAAACGAGAAATCCCATAAAACACACGAAAATGGGATACCCTGTACAGATGTGATGCGCAGAAGTAAACTGCAGTAGTCTACCGGCAGCCATACGGCCCGCACTTTGGTCAGGAGAGCATAGCAAAAAAAACAGCCTTCTCAAAATTTACGTTTTCCCGACGGTGCTATACTCTGTTTTTTTTTTCTCAGGTAAGACTTCGGCAGACGCCGACAGAAGAAAAACACATGACGTCCCATACCAATCTATTTATTTTACTAAAAAAGTTTCTAATATTTTTTGAGTTAACTATGGATGGGTTTAAATATAAATCCGTCATGCGTCGTCTCTTGTTGTTTTTAACCAGTTTTATTGGTTTATTTCAAAAATGACAGATCGTATTTCAATTTTATTGGTTTGACGGAACGATGAACGACAAACGGACGCCGATGCGCATGGACTCGCCTTTAGATTTTTGAGGCTTGTCAAAGTCTTGCCAAATTATAGGTTATAATTTTGTGTCAACTTCTGTCAAATACCCTGCGTTTTGGAAGATAATGCATTTTGATTCGTGTTATTACGTGTGTTTTGTGTCTTTTGAAGTCAAGTGGAGGAAAAATCGAGGGAAAATTAACTGTAGAGCTAGTGCACAGTATATAGTTAATACTCGCGGCAAAGGCAGAAAGTCTTATACACCAATAAAGTTTGTATATCATCTCGTCGTAGATAAGTGCATCTCGTATATAGTACAAGAATCGTACTAAACATATACTAAGGTATAAAATTTGGTAAGTGTTATTATTAATAAAATAGTTTGTTTTATTTATGTTGTTTTATTTATTCCTGTGGAATATTACAAATTTGTATTTGTACATACATAAGTTATATTGATAAATATAATAATAAATGCGGAAAGTTTCTTGAAGCTTGAAAGTAAGAAATAGTTCTTTTTTATATTTTTTGGCATGTGGTGTTTTGTTCTTGTTCGTTTTGTATTAACACACCGTTTTTTTAAATAAAATAAGTGGATTACATTTTTTTAGTTTTATGCAGTTTTTTTACAACATTTTGAAGTAATCATTTCTCAGTCAAATTTTAAATATATTTCCTGCTATGCGTTCCAGTAGTACCAACTTATTTCTTTAAAATAAAATAAACTACTTTGAAATTAAAATGACAGACACAGATCTATCACTGTCAAGGATCTTGTCGTTGAACAGACTATAGCTCTTTTACTATTATATTTTTATTAAGGTTAGCTTAAATTTGTCAAAAAAGTGTCAAAACGTCCGTTATCGTACGGGTACGATATTTCTCCGTTGACGGGATGGAGTAAAAAAATTTACGGATGAAAAGTGGCGCGAAAACGCTGTGACCAATCACAGCACCGTCCAACCATCGTATCACAGATTAGGTATACTATATGCATGGTACAAAGAATACAAGGTATGATATTGCGCAGGTTGGTCGCTACGTCACAGGTGATAACAGGCGCTATTGGTCAGCACGCTCCGCGCGCCAGTTCAAATCGTCAAGATATTGTTATAAACCTGTTTATTTGTTTATATACCGTCATTGAATTATCGCTAAGCAAGTTACTGTGGAGCAGTGCGTAAGGAGTCGGGCTAGGAAGCGAGAGACCGGAGTTCGAATCTCGGCCGGGACATAACTTTTTATTTATTTTTTTGAATACTGTTGTATTCTATAGTTTATTTTTGTAGTATGAAAAAAAGAACTATTTATTCTGTTATTTTTTAATCTCCGTTATTAATATAAATTGATTGTTAGTACAATACCTCATTTAATATAAAATAATATTCTACTTTTTGAAATGTATCGGGCTCTAATTGTACCTAAAAGTAATATATTTTTAGTGATATACCATATTGTAAACTATTTATTTTTTATATTTCAGTCACTGAAAAAGTTAATTTGCATTGAATAATTGCCTACCATTAAAGGAAATTTGAGCTATATAATCCTTGATGGGCATATTCTGGGTATGCAAACACTTCCTTTAAATTTTGGGTGTCGTTCAACCGATTTATTCTCAAAACCAGAAACATCTACATATAAAAAGAAAAGCACAGGTCACTAATTATAATAAACTTCACCCTTGGTATTACTTCCACTAATTATAATAAACTTCACCCTTAGAATTACTTCTATCACAATTACAATACGTTCATCTGCATTGGCATTTTCTACTTTTCGATGGGAAACAATAAACTTCCCAATATTTTTTAAATGATGTAACAATTCCTCTTGTGGTTACTTTTCCATAGATATCCTCAACTCTGTCCTCATGTGAATTCAGAGGCAATGAAAATGAAAATTATTTACCATAAACATCGCAAACTAAAAACCTAATAAACAATTTTATACCGAATATAGAAATAAATTCAGTATTCTTACCTATCGTCCAAATCCATGTTAATAGATAATTATTATTTTTAAATTATTTTTGGAACTGCTGGTTTTAGTAATTATTAAATTAAACGAACTAAAAAGTCTTAAAAATAAACAATTCTTAACCATAACCCCAAAAAATGCAGATCTCCTGTCAACTTTCTTTATTTTTTATTTATTCATTATTTTCCTAGTGACGTCACAGGTGGTATGCGCGAACTGAACGAAATTGGCGCCGCTATCGATCATACCTTGTATTCTTTGTACCATGTACTATATGTATACAGATCTTGTCCCTAATTCGTGGTACGAAAATTGTTTTTTATGAGCAAACGAGTAAAATTTCCTGTGCGCAAAAATAAACTCGCGTTTAAACAGCGTAATAACTGGGCCGGTCAGGCGCTGCGCACAATTTTAGAGGCCATAAGTGGGCGTGTTACGTGCGCAAACTAGTAACCCAACTAGTGCGCGACTCCGAAAATTGGAACCACGAAAAACAATGCTTTTGACGATAAGTTTATAATCTGTATAATTTGTGATCATATCAACGGATAACGCACGCATGAAAATCAAGTTTTATTAGAAAAAAAATGTAAAAAAACCTGGAGTCTGGCTCGTCTAGCAGTTTCTCTTCGATTCTCATTTCAACCTCATTAAATAGTTCGTCCTTGATTAAAAATCCATTTTTATCAAAACTATCATGTAACTCGTGAGATTGCATTTCCAAGTATAACTCGGGTGACATTTCTTTTCCACTTATTATACTACCTACAAATTAAATCTTTCAGTCCACTACAGGCTTGGTGCATTTCAGTTAATTCCAAAAAATTCCGACCGCAGCGCTGTATACGGCAGAAATTAGAAATTTTTAGTCCCGGTTAGAGTTCATGTTGATTGCATTAAAATAATATTGAAATCGTGGCTTTGTCATAATATTTAAGTATTTTAGTTTTTTGATTTCACATTAGATTTATATATGCAATATCGAAAAATGAAGAAAATCATAAATGGAAATTATTTTATTACAGAAAGTAGTCCTTACAACTTAAAATGCTCTAAGTAATAAAATATATTGGAAAACAAACACAGTTTTATGATTATTAGATTCCATCTTTTAGAATCCTCATATGGATTTTGGCTAAGAACTAGCATTTAATTAAATAGATTCCAAAATGAGTTTATTATGATGCTTAATATTTTCATACTAATTTATTGTAATAAAATAGGTCCAGTTCTGTTACCATTCTGTTACACTAGCCCCAAAATTTATGAAATAACTTAATTACTAGCCAGTTGTGGAAACGAGTTGTTTGTGAATTTGTACGTTCGGCATCATTCGGGTGAAAATCGAAACTCCTTCGGCTCGATACGTTTGCGTTTTGGACGTACGTAAAGGCACGTAAAGATACGTATCGCGTATCCGTAAACGCAAGTGAATTTCTCACTGCGCAAGCGTACATGTCAAACGATACGTTTACGTCTACGTTTTTGGCCGTGCTTTAACTGTCTATTAATGGTATAGTTTTTTTAATCAACTAGTGATTAAATGCTTTACGAACATCTTCTAAAATTATAATTATGTACCTTTAAAAAATTTCGTTATAGCCGAAAATGCCTCAATTATAAACCCACTAGAAAAACCGGTGATTAAAACTATGCTCGCTACCTTAGTTGAACTCATCTAAAAAGTTTTTTTAGCTATTTTTAGAAATTTTTACAAATTATACTTCCTAACACTTTTAGAATAATTAAATAATAAATTTTTCGTATTCTCGCTATTTAAACTCGTGTATTTGTATACTAAGGCTGGCAAAGATTAGTCTTGGGTCGAGATTTCCGTATGTAAGAAGAGTACAATGCGTTTATAATGTACTGAACGAAGAGAGGACAGTAAACACGTTGCCAAACGTATGAAATAAACCGAGAAACTGTGCACATCGCTAAGAGACGTGGAAGGGGATATAGCAGATTTGTCGCAGTTGACCGGTCGACCCAGTACTTAAAGTTCTAGGGAAAGTACTTTGTCAGTACTTAAAGTTCTAGGGAAAGGTGTACGTCATGCGGTCAGCTTCACGATTTAATTACGTTTCGTGCTACTTAGTTTGTTTATTTATTAACGAGTCGTTGTAATTTTCCCTATAGCTTGAATTTTTTTAAGTGTAAGCTAGAAACACTTGCATTTTTGGTAAAAATAAGTGGAATTGAGTGGGTGTTCGATAGTGGTCGCGCTATTAGAACTCTGAATACAAAAATCGATATCTCGAAATCTTCTTCTTCTTCTTCTTTTAGAAGGCGTATCGCCTATTTAGTTCCGGTTTCCTCCTCGTCTAAGCAACTCTTGCGAGGTTGACTGCCAACTGTCTTGCCAACGTTTAGGTGGTCGTCCACTAGGTCTTCTGCCATGGAGTACGTTGTTGCGAATTATTATGGCCATTCTGTCGGGGCCCATTCTATTGACATGCTGGTTCCATTCTCTTCTTCTCTGCCTTATCCATCTGACAACGTCGTTTGTTTAGCACTTTTCTCTTATGTCTACATTTCTCTGTCTGTCCCTCAATGTGTATCCAGTTATCATTCTTAAGGTCTTCATTTCAGTAGTTCGTAGGATTCTCTTTGTTACTGATGTTTCAGCTCTGGTTTCCGCACCATATGTCATCACTGGTCGTATGCAGGTTTTGTATATTCTTGACTTACATTCTGTACTCAAATGTTTGTTTTTCCATATGGGATATTTAAGATGTCCTGATATTGCGGCAGCTTTATTGGCTTGTTTCCTTACTTCTTCTTCCAGGAATCCTGAGCTTGTAATTTTGCATCCGAGGTATTCGAATGACATTATCTGATCAATAGTTTTGTTTTTTATTACCAATTTGCACCGTAGAGGCTCCTTTGTAATGGTCATGCATTTGGTCTTATTTGTGGAAATTTGCATGTTAAGTTTTTCTGCCTGTCTGTTAAAAGCTTGTAGCATTCTTTGGAGGTCGTCCTCTGACTCTGCAATAAGTACTGCGTCATCGGCATAGCATAATATGTTTACTTTATGCATTCCCATTCGATATCCTAATCCAGTATTCTTGACGGTTTTTTTACTTGATCCATGATTGTGTTGAATAACAGATACCAGTGTGTAGTTCGAAGATGCTGCGTTAAGGTAAAGTTTGTTCTTATTTGGGTTGTCGTGTTTGTGTTTAAGTCCTTGATAAGTTCTGTGAGTTCTTTCGAGACATTACTGCTTTCCAAGATGGTGATGATGTCTTTTATTTGAACTCTATCAAAGGCCTTTGTTAAATCTATAAAACATAGATAGGCTGGAGAGTTATATTCTAAGGATTTTTCAACTAGATTTTTTCATCTCGAAATCTATTAGAAATAATAGATTGCAGTTTTTACAAGAACTTTGTTAATATTTCTGCTGTATTTTCTTTGTAGACAGTATGTGAAAATCTTTATCAATAAAAAAATTACACGATTGCTGAAAATTGCTATGCTCTAAAAGTAAATGGATGGATTGTTTACAATTTTTGAAACAACCTTATCGAATTTTTCTTACGTCATAAATTATACTGTAAAATATCCGATCTTGAAAATAAAAAAAAGTTTCAATATCTAAAGTGGTTCTTGAGTTATGGCCTGTTATGTGTTAAAAAGTTGAGTTCTTAAATTATCGCGATTACTGACGTTTTCTCGTTATAAAAAAATGACACCCTAACGATATCCTTATAATTCCATTTCAGATGCTCAGAAACATGTCTAATGATTTTATCTAGTTATCTCTTGAAAAAAAGTCTTTTAAAAATAAGCGGTTTGCGATCGTGATTTTACTTTACTTCATAGGGAAAGGCGTATCGGCAACGCCGCTACAGCACACCGTCGCGCGTCGCGTCGGTCGGTCGCATTTCTCTCACTCCGACTTAATAAGATCCCTATGCGATTTACTTCCACACATGTAAATGCCGACCCAAAAGTAACAGTTGCCAGCACGGTATACTAGTTGTTTACGATATTCTCCGATGGGGGCAGCACCGACGGAGAATGCACAAAGCCTGTAATATTAACTTAAACAAAATAAACACTTACCTACACTTCCTTGTCTTTTGCTTTCAACCAACCCAGATCTATCCAAAACATATTGGTATTCCGGAACCTTGAAGGCACTTCTCTCAAACAAAACCTGGTTTCTGCTTTTATTCACACTAATACCGTAAGAATTCAAGAAATCAATGGCAGCTTCCACATCGTCGAAATACAACAAATTGACAAATTCTTCCAGAGGGTAAAAAGAGATAGATCTTGGAGGTGTGAAACATTTTAACAGGGTTTCCAGAGCCTGAACTCTGACTTGTACGAAATATCGCATTAGGATGCAGGCATTTAGGTAGGTCGTTGATTTTATTAGCTTGAAAAATTTGACGTAGTTGTGTGTGTCGGCGGCTGAATAAACTTGGAGGGCGAATCGAATTTCTGGGGATTTTTGAATGTCTTCTGGTAGCTTTTGAACCTAAATATATTCCAAACAAATTAATAGTATAACAAACAAAATACAAGAAGCAGAAAAAGGGGCCAAAAAGACCCTACATAAATGCTTATTCTCTGCATTAAGTTCATCAGACTGAAGGGAACAGCTATTCGACGACCAGTTTCGGAGATTTATCTCCATCAGGCCCACATGCTGTAACCCTCAATCTGAATACACATTTTTTTATTAAAAAATGTCATATTTCAAAAAATGTGAGTGAAAATAATGCAAAATTGAAACAATAGAAATTTTATGGCCGATTTACTGATAAAAAAATGTAAACCCTCCACTTAAAAAAACAAACTCCAAGACACAAAACATATAAAAACAGATATAAAGCTTTCTTGGCACCCAAAGTGGGCCACCCTGTATAATAAATAAAATATTATATTACTTACCTCCCACATAAAATTCCCATCACTTAAATTCAGCAAAATCACATAAGCTCTGAACTCAGCTTCGTTAGAACATTTTTCTCCCTTTAAATGTAAATCATTGTACATATATTTCAGTGTTTGTAAACACTTTGTCAAATTTTCGTCATTGATTTTATGGTCAAAAACCGAGGGGTCCTCACTTGTCAATCTTGCAGCACAATGTATATGGAATCGAGTACACTGCTCTACTAACTCTACCGCACCTTGACTACACAGAGCTTGCTGAGTAATATCTTTTCTTATACCTCTCGTTCGGTCCCAAAGAAAATGGTACCATTCAGCTATATTAACCTTAAAAAAAAAATAGCGCAAAATATTAAAAAAAAATGATTTACCAAATTACTTCAGAGTCAGTATCGCATAAATCCATAAAAGTATAAACCAGGTAGTTCATTGTGAACTGTAATACTTTCACAGGTCTCAAATCATGAGGTAGGGGTGATTCTTGATCGGCCGAACTACGACTATACTGTTTTACGGCTTTGTGATGGTTCATAGAGTGCTTCACACCATCATTTTGTTCATAAAATGCCACCTAGTGCATAAAACATTAGTTAACATATATTTTTTTAATGCTACATAACTTACTTGATGCTTCACTTCCCTTAAAAGGCGTTCCTTTTCGGGACACATATCACAACATGTTCCTATAGTCGGACCTGATTTCATAACAGATTTTTTTCTATTAAACCTAAAATATATATATTTAGGATGCAGCCAAAATATGAGAGATTTTTTTACCTAAGTAGCTTGTCTCTAGCGTCCAAAACCTTGTACTTTTCTTCAATTGTATTGGCCTGGGAACGCATAATTTTCAATAAGTCCAACTGTTCAGCAGTTAAACTAAAAAAATCTTAATAGAACCTAAAATAGAAATTAAGTTTTTACTTACATTTTAACACTTTCTTTCACTTTATTTTTAATAGCTGTCTTAAGAAGTCTTTTCTTTGTTGCAATGTTTCTTAATGCCTCTGTAGGTCTAGCATCTTCTTTTTTCCAAACTCTATTCAATTTTGGTAGTATTTTAGGTTTTGCAGTAGGCTTAGGGCTGTCAGATGTTAAATCTATGACCACTTAAAAAACAAAAATGTTTTTTTATATTTTATACAAAAAAAACACATACCATTAACATTTGAATAGCCACTCATTGCAGCTAATTCTTTATCAACCTCATCATGATCTACATAAGATATTTTATGCTTTTTAACTACTCTCTCCCTAATTTTCTTCTTAGGCTTAACAACTTGTGGTTGTATAGGTAACTGAGATGTAGTTGATTCATACTAAAATAATCAAGTAGTACGTACATCTATGATAACAAAAAAATATATAAATTGTACCGGTTCCTTATGGAAGATTTGTCCTCTATATTCGCCAATGTTTTCCAATGCATTTAAATAGTCGTCTCGGTTAATATACTCCACAACAATAGCACGCTGTCTTTGTTTAAATATTAGTCTTTTGACTTTGCCGAATTGTCGAAAGTACGTTTTACATAAGCGTTTATTTATTTCAAATTCTTCCGGGTAATTATAGCACCTTAAAAGTGATCCAAAGTTTGATAATGTTTTCAAATGAGTTGACAGAAAAATCTTACGCTATTCTCAGATTTTCTGATGCTTCTGTATCCGGATTCTCCATCGTTTAGTATTTTAATTATATCTATTTCTACACTACTGCATTTTAAAAACTATTATTTTTTTAAATAAACCCAAATAAACATAAACTAACATAAACTGATCACAACTTAACCTAAAATTCTATTAAATGTCAAACTTGTGTCAAACAAAAGTCACTCATAGCCCATAGATTAGTTTTATTCATTTCAGGTTGCTAGTCAAAGATATACAGGTAGGATGTTCGCGCTTAGGTCCACAGTCTCCCAGTTATTTTAGTTTAATTTCATCGTTATTCCAAGTCTTTAGGAGATTAGTTTGGCATGTGTTATAATTTATTGTGTTTTTGAATTCATAGACTGATAATATAATTTAATATAAATTCATAGACTGCCTTTTTATTTATCTAAAGTATTTTTAGTATTTAATAACAAATAAGAAATTCTTATTTATAAACTTTCAAACAGCGAAATATGCATTTGCACAGGCCCAACGCGCTCAATTATGATAAAAATTGACTTTAATTATTGTTTATTGTAATTTTATTATTTACGGCATTTTGTTTTCTCGCCTTGATAAAAAGATTATTATTCATTTGTAATATGTACTACGTTGCATACTATAACACTTATAATAGTTTATTATGATTGTCTAAAGATAGTCGCAGAGGTATACCGAAATTTCTGACCTTCCTCTATTTTGACCTAAGTACGAACATGGCACTGCGCACGTCCATATTTTCTGTCTCTATATCTCTGCTACCAGTCTACATTTTAATTCTATGGCATAGTCTAAAGGTCAAATCTATGTCAAATCACAAATCACAATAAACAAATACACATTAAATTAAAATATTTTATATTTCTAAACAAATTATAATTAACTCACTAACTTAAAACATGTGACGATCAACAAAAATCATAAACATGACACAACAAAGATGTAATCATAATTTATTAAATTAACCTTCTATAAAATAAAAAGATCGCTAGAAACATAGCTAGCTCTATACTGCTCCATAACTACAGCAATTTCAACTCTTCGAAATCTGATAAATGGAACTTCTTGAGACATCCTGAATTTAAGATGAATCTAAAAACAAAATCACGTCATTTAACTATATCACTTTACTAGATATTCACTCACTGTTTCTAATTTTGCACTGCTGAATAGCTTCGTTAAATCCTTGGCAAAGAGTTAAATCGGGCTGAGTCGAAGCGCACTGTAAGAATTGCTTGATCTCCCATGCACAAGGTCCAGAAGGCTCGCTCGTTTGGCTATTTTGAACTGGAGCAGCCACTGGAGCCGCTTCCTGAGCTGCTGGTTGGTCACTTGAACCACTGAACAGGCCTAAAAACAAAATTACAGTGAAATTGAGGAATGTTTAATAATATATCGAAAGAACTATACCGGTAACGGCATGTCCCACGGTGTGTCCAATAGCAGAGCCCACTGCAACACCACCAGCTGTAGCTGCCATCTGCCCAAACAATCCCGGACCCTGGGATGCTGGAGGAGGCGTAGCGTGCATTTGGGCCGGTTGGGGAGCAGGACTAGGAACATACTTAGATGGGACATTTGATGTGGTCCTGAAATAACATAAATAATTTAAAAAATTACGTTATAAATCCACTTATATATAGTTCTGCTATATTACAGCCTCATTATTCCATAACATAGATACTTTCTATAGGTTTTTTGTATTAATACAAAACGTGATTAAATTCCAAAAGTCACCTAACCTAAAGACAATAAACCTAATTTTATATAAATACCTTCTTGAAGGGGATGGGGATGATCGTCCGCGTCTCGGCATTTTTTCTAATATTAGCTAACACAAGAACAATATTATCGCACAAAAGTAGTCGGATTTCACCACTTTGTTACGTAAAATGAGATTTGTGTTCGATTTTTTGACGTTTTATTCGGAAATGACGTTTCTAGAGATGGGCAAAAGTAACCGGTTTTTTGAATAACCGGTATTTTCCTCTAAAATAACCGGTTATTTAAAGGTAGTTTTTTTTTCATCAGTTAACCTAATAACCTTGCATTACGTTCAATAACCTATAGCCGGTTATTTTTTAAAAAATCGTACTTGTTTAAAACAAGTAACAATTAAATATTAGCTGTTTGAATCGTAAATTTCGAAGAAGCGAACGGCACGGATCTTCCAGATATTACGACGATAACGGGAGATCCCGCTCCCACTCCCAAAACGAAAATATATGACATCAAATGTCAAAATTAAATCAGGCATCAGGCGAACCCTGATGATAATCAAAACAACGGCCGAATGGCCCTGACAGGTCAGGCCGTAGAACAAAGTACTAATGGCATAGACTACTACTAGCCACCAGCTAGCCAAGTGATACGAACCTAACTTCAAATAGATTCTCTAAATTCTATATTTAAATTTTAACCGACTTTAACGGATTTTCAACGGTTCTTCAAAAGTTTTCCATGGTTTCGCCCAGTTTCACCCACGTTTCACCGTAAATATATTTTATTTGTAGTTTGAAGTCTCTCTTGAAGCTTAGACTAAAGAATACGAAATTGAAGTTCAAGTAATGAATGAAGATAATCTTTCATTATCTATTCATTCAGTCTCCTTATTTTTTTGTTTGGTATTTGATTAAAATAACTTGGTTGTAGATTGTAGAACTTGTGAGTTGTGTGGTTTATTTGAACGTTAAGTAATTACTAGTTTTAATATCATATCCATGTCTACTCAAAAAAGTGAGGTTAGCATTTTTATTTAAATTCATTTTGTACATATACATGCTTACATTGCTACAATCTCTATTTAATCATGCGATTTAACTAAGTTTATTATCTAAATTTGAAGTAGACCTATGGAGTGTAGAGGTAAGTAAACCTATAGGAAAACTAAATATTTAGTTTTGCTAGGTTAGGTTATTTGAATAACCGGTTAATTTGTGTCGGTTAATTTTGTCAAGTTATTATTTTTTAAAGATAATTCCGGTTAACCTATAACCGGTTTTTTACCAATAACCGCCCATCTCTAGACGTTTCTAGAAAGTTCACAATTTATTGGACCTGACGCGATCAAACGTCTACGTCATTTTCCACGTGAAAGAGCGAGAAAAAATATTTTTAGCTGAATTTGGGGAACTGACAAAATAGGACAGGGTTGTAATTATTTTTATTTGATTAGATAAAAATGTTTAATAAAATTATGCAAACCAGTGAAATCTTAAGAAATAATAAAACAAATATTGGTTATACTCTTTGTTTATTTTTTAATGAAAATGAAGTATTCTGGCTTTTTAGGCAAAAATAAAGGGCTTGAGGTGAGAATATAAAATTTTAAAAAATATTTTGTTTCAAACCAAAAATCAAAATGGTAAATTCATAAAAAGAAAATTTAGATATTGTTCAATAAATGATAGATTATAGCTATATAGAAATAATATTGCGCGATGAAGTTACTTATTGGCGCTGTTAAACGTTTAAAACACCACGTAAAGTAAAATATATTAAATAAAGAAATATTTATGAAATTATGACAAGCCTGTCCTGACTTAAGTTAAATTTAGTGCAATTTCATTGTTGTAAAGGCAATTTCCAAATATGTTCCATGCTCATGTGACTATATAGCCGAACTATTTATTTGTTTTGACGGTGAAACTTTTTTACTCGCCTGGTAAACAAAAATGAGATCAAACACGTCAAAAAATCAGGACAAAAGTCATTTATACAAATTATTGTACTCACGAGTAGGCCCTGTTCCCCGTGGTGGGCTGCTTAGTGGGTTTGGGGGCGCGTTTCGATGCTGCTGGCTTACTTCTAGGCATTATGATCGAGAATTTTGTTGAAACTTTGATGAAATGACAAACACAACAGACCAAATGAAAATTGCTGTTTGACGTCTGATTGACTGATGAAAAATTTGATTGCTTAGTTTAATGTATACAGGGGTATCAAAAATTGCTGGTCTATTTTAAATATTTATTTATCGAGAACTTCGTTATTTCAAATGCAACACTATGTATTTTTTTAAATAAGTCGAAGCGAATTTAAATGCTCTTTCAAACTATATTAGGGTTTCCTCAAATACGTTTTAATAAAATATACGGAGAGTACCGCTTAAATTCCTGTCCCGATGTTGAAGGATGGCTATAGAATGTCAATGCATTTCCCACATAAGTCTATCCTTGTTCGGGAGGAGGTTTTTTGCGCTTGCTCGATCTGTAAGCACTTTGATTGGACAGTTCCAAATCATATGATATGTTTTGTTTTGGTTTTATTTATTTTAAGTTGAGGTTAAAGACGTTCTAATAATTGAATTAAATCTTTCGAAAAATTGGAAGTTTTTGTTAAATATTCTGAAATCAAATAATTTGATAATGTAACATTATGCGCATATTTATCAATTGAGATATTTTAATCGTATCCAACATGTTATGGCAAAACACTTTTTCAACCAAAAGTTTTCAGATATCTTCGATTTAGTTATTTTCGAATGTTTATTTTGTTTATATCTATTACAAACTCAAGGAGCAACAGTTTTTTACAAGTAGTGTTAATTTTGATGCTGGTGCAATACTTCTACTCGTTAAAATAAGTTTATTATAAATATTACAGACATTTAAAAAAATAGGCTATGGAATAGGTATATAAAAATTATTTTATATCTGTCTCACAATGGGGGGCTCCTAGTAGCGTAATAGGTATCTGCAGTGCGATTCTGTAAACATTTCCCTGTCTAGTGACTCATCAATCGTATACAAATAGCATAGGCTCGATAGGAAATTTCTTGCTACAGAGCTTACAGAATCCCATTGCTGATTTCTAAAATTCTTTTTCTAGATAGGCTTCCCGCATCGTAAAAACTCCTATTTTATGGTATGTAATTAGTATTCTGAAGGTATTAAAATATTTTAATATCAATATAGTTTTTTCACTGAAACTCGAGTTAAATCTTAATATACATTATTCATATTGTCGTTTTAGAGATTGTGCTTTTATACTTACTATTATGAAAATTTACTGAATAAAATATATAGTTGCAATCCTTTTACTGAACTCCTTAATTTCTTGTTTTATGAGGGGATAATTTTTGCTTATTTAGGTACTAATTTTAATCAGACCATTTTTTAATGAACTCATTTATATTTATATCATATCGTTCTAAGTAGACTTTGTTGTGTTAGACAATTATTATTAAATAAAACGAATGAAAAAAAGTGACAGGTACGATATTTTTTTTTTAAATTCAAAAAATAATTTAGTAAAACCACAATTATTAAGAAATTGTCTTAAAAACTTCGTAGTACAAATTGCATATCTATTTCACTTTTTTTAAAATTCAAAAAATAATTTAGTAAAACCTCAATTAAGGAACTGTCTTAAGAACTTAGTATTACAAATTGCATATCTATTTCACTCGACTTAAAAATTGCAGCAAAACAAAGTATAACAGTACATTTTTTACTGTCTATTGTTTCTTTTACTGCCCATGTATTTATGATCAATATCAACATCAGTCCTGGTTTAAAATGAAACAAAAGTAATTCTTTATTATTAACATATTTTTTATTAAACAAATATAACTAAAAGTATGTACATATTAAGTTTATACATAAATCAAGCTAGATACAAAAAATATAATTATTTACATTGTTGCATTGTAAATACTCTTTTATATTATGAAAAAAAAACAATAATAATTTACAATAAGACAGTTTGTGTGAACTGTGTAAGCATTATAATTAGCCTTATGTAGTCTCTATTTTTAGTCTTTACATTATAATGTCATTTTTATTTTAAAATAGTAAGACTAAATATAATGCTTTTAACAATTATTGATTTTTGAATAAAATTAGTTTCGTATATTTTTGTCTTATATTAACATCCCTTTCATTTCTGATTTTGCTTTCATGAAACAAACGAACATCGAGAAAAATTTCTATTATTAATTTGGTTAGTTGGCTTCTACCACACAAAAAGCAGTAGCCCATTCGCATTGTTCTATTAATTAAACTACAGCAAAAGTCTTTAAAACTAAATCACAAAATTGTCAATAAACGCACAAAGATTAAAATACAAACGAAAACACAGTACACGTGGAAAACACAGAAAGTTAGAGAAAACACTAATGGCGACTGCCCAAGTCCAAACTGAAAACAAAACGCCGACGACGCGTCCAAAAATAAATCGATAACCCATCTCGACACCATTCGGCCAATAGAAAAGTAGCATTTCGGCGCATGTGCATTACATCCATCTACTGAACAAGGATGGACTTATGTCAAACTCGATCTTCTGTCCTTCAATCCTGGGACATAAATTCTCTCATTGCTCTTATGGGGAGGCCGCGGTATATGTAAATTTAAATGTATTTGGGTTTCCTATACCTATCTACAGTGGTGGCCAAAAGTATGGTAACTTTTTACTTTTTAAAATATCACAGAAAATATTGCTATACTTAACTCTCAGGAATATAAATGAACAGCTTATCAGTAAATAAAAGTATTCCAAAAATTACACAGCGAAAAAAATCTGTTTAGCAGTTTTTGTAGGAGAACAATAGATTTCTTGTGGCCCAAAGTATGGAAACCATAAATAAATACATTAAAATTATTTAGTTTAAGCTGATAAACGGTACGACTTACTTCAGATAAATATAAACATCATGCCCAAGTCTAAATATTTCTCTACGGATTTAAAAAATAAAATAGTTGAATTATACAAGAGCGGTTATAAACAAATTCAAATAAGTAAAAATTTAAACATTTTAAAAGGCACCGTTTCGAAAATAATTCGTAAATTTAATAAAACAGGGAACGTTTCAACAGCTTTTAAGTCAGGAAGACCAAGAAAGTTGTGCAACAGGACAATGAAAGTAATGAAGAAAATATCAATTGGAGATCCAAGAAAAACATCCACAGACATTTCTCGAGAAATGGATGAAAGGGGAATATCGGTGTCTGCACGCACGGTGAGAAGAAGGTTGGATGACATGGGACTTTTTGGAAGAATTGCGGTGAAGAAACCACTAATATCAAAGAAAAATAGGATGGCCCGCTTTGAATTTGCTCAAGATCATCTCACCTGGTCTTATCAGAAATGGAATACTGTACTGTTTAGCGACGAAAGCAAGTTTCAACGGTTTGGTAGTGACGGGAGACGTTATGTCCGAAGACCAAAAGGTACACGGTACAGCCATAAGTACCAGATGCCCACAGTAAAACAGGAGTATAATGGTATGGGGGTGTTTTTCTCGTTCAGGTGTTGGTCCTCTTGTTAAAATTGATGGGATAATGGACCGTTTTTTGTACAAAGACATATTGGAGAATAATATGCTGCCTCATGCTGATGAAGAAATGCCACTCAGATGGTTGTTCCAGCAAGACAATGATCCCAAGCACAAATCTCGGTTTGTTCAAAATTGGTTAAATGAACATAATGTTCCACTAATGGATTGGCCCTCACAATCTTCGGATCTTAACCCCATAGAAAATTTATGGGACCATTTGGATAGCAAAATTCGAAGCCATTCTATTTCAATTAAAAATGAATTATGGGAAGTGCTAAAAACTGAATGGGCGGCCATTTCCACTAAAGATTGTACGAGATTGATCGATTCGATGCCATGAAGATGTAGAGAAGTAATTAATTCAATATTCCACTAAATATTAGTAATTTTTATATTATCTTGAATTTTAATAAACATTCTTCTTAAGTTTCCATACTTTTGACCAAGAAAATATTCATAATTTTTTATATATTTTTTGATAGCTGTAATTTTTTATTTAAATGTATTAGGTTTTCTAGGAAATTATTTGTAGGTCACGATTATATAAGTCGTTTTATTTCATATTTTAATTTCTCAGCATAAATGACAAATTAAAAAAGTTTCCATACTTTTGGCCACCACTGTAGCTCAGATTTTGAATAAAGAACAATTTTTCAATAAAATGGCAACCAAGATCGCTGATGTCAAGTTTCTAGTGACAGTTAGATGACAGTTAGTAGCTATTTTGAAAATCAAAATTAGTTTATGGACTTTTTTCCTCACAAAATAAAATCACTAGTAACATATTTGTTCGTTCCGCCAGCAGATACTGCTTTATTTTTCTTGATAAAATAATGAATACTTACTTATTAAACTATTGTAGCTAAATTTAAGTAAACTGTTATAAATCTAAATAATAATGTCCATAAACTAATGTCGATTTTGAAAAGAGTTACTAACTTTAACTAGAAAATTACCATGACGACACCAGCCATCTTGATAGCCATTTTTTAAAAAATCGCTTTTTATTCAAAATCTGAGCTAGATAGGTATAGAAAACCCTAATATAGTTTGAAAGAGCATTTGAATCTGCTTCGATTTATTTAAAAAAATACAGGGTGTTGTATTTGAAATAACGAAGTATTTATGTAAAATAAATATTTAAAATAGACCAGCAATTTTTGATACCCCTGTATACATTAAACGAAGCGATTTTCACTTTCTGTTTCAACGAAAAACTATTGATTTTGAAATGGCACCGACCGACGGTAGGTATATTTCTGGTTTATTCGATAGAAAATGACACTCTGAGTAGAATGACATATCATATGTCAACTTTTGACATTTTTGCTCAAAAAAATCGTATTTTAAATTTCAATCTAGAGTGCCATGGCTGTGTTAAAAACACTAATTTTTAAACAAGGAGCCTTGGAAAAATAGATTTAACGTCTAATGTTTTTCGTCTCTTGTCCTAGTGGGTTAAAAATGCCCAAAATGGTATTTTTAATCATATGCCAATTTTTTCAAATGGAACAAGTGGCTCATTTGCATATTTGGAAAAAGAATTTTTTACGAATAATTTTGTACCAAACACTTGATATTTCGAGTCAAATTGTCGTTATGAACCGTATGTTACAATTTCAAATAAACCATATTATGCGAAAATGTCAAAAGTTGACATATGATATGTCATTCTATTCAGATTGTCATTTTCTATCGCATAAAGTAGAAATATACCGAGGTTGACATTTAAAAATCAAAAGTTTTATTAATTTCCGGTGAAAGAGGAAGTGATCAAAAACAATTGAATACGTCAATTAATCCTAATTTATGTCGTATACTAACATACCAAATCTCGTTTTTTCATCTGAAAAAATAAACAAGTTATAAGAGTTAGCCAGTTTTGAGATGCATCCGGTCTATAAATGATAAGTATAAGTGATCTTTGAAAACATCACTATTTATAGTTGCAAGCAATTGCATTATTTTTCTATAAGAATTTAAGAAAAACTTCTTTTCTTTTTCACAATCAATTATTTCGTGCAGAATCAGTATAGGTATGACCAGATACAGTTTTGTCGGCTTCAAAATGAGGATCAGCCATCAGTGTTTGAGATTTGAGATGCATTCATTTGTCTTGCTTTAATGAAAATTTTCTACGATTCTGCTACCATTTACCATGTATTACTACATATTCAATCCAGAACAATCAAAACTTGATATTTGATCACATACCTGTGAGATTGACCAAAAGATTGATATTTTTCCCACTACTGTGAATAAATTAATGAGGCAAACTTACAAGCTTTTTTTTGATAATGAGATCGGGATCCTATTTAGCTTCTTGCGAATTGAATATTTTTTGTTTCATATAATTTTAGGGCGGATCAGCCATTAACAAATAAAGGGTGTGGGTAGTAGACAAAGTGCAATTTTGAGTGGTCAGTCTAAAACTGTCAATTTTGCTGGCTCTTGACCCAAAACAGTTTATTGTTTAGAGAAAATTTATAAAAACAAGAATTATAGAAAGAAGGGTTATTTACAAAAAGTTGATAGCTTTTCAGTTATAAGTAAAATATCACGAAAAATTTTTTTTTCTTTTTGTTTGATTAATTAGTAAGTTTGATAATTTTTTCAGTGTAAAATACAAGAAGTATTTGTGTAGTGCTTTTATAAGAGATTATATTCGTTTATTTTGTAGATGAGTAGTAGGTGAAGGTATTTGGGTATTTTTTCTTTTTGTTTTTCTTCTCTAATTGTAGTAATTCTATTAAGTATTGTGACAGATACCTACATATCTTCCTTCAACTTCGTTGAAAATTTGTTATCATATAATTTTGGTTTTCTGGGAGTAGAATATACGAAAAAAAAATCAGATCAAATTTGTTTTAAATTAAATTAATCGAGTCTTATTAATCAAATTAATCTAGTCAAATAATAATAATAGTTAGTTTCTAAATACCATACAAGGTGAGTTTCCTACGATGTTCTCTATGGGTATCTCGGAAACTACTGGAGATAGAGAGTCGGTTAAATGGGGAAAGAATTTCAGTCTTGTGGGGTCATAAATATGCGCCTTTCGGATTTTTCGGAGAAGTTCAAGGCTTACTAGACATTTAGAAAAAAAAACCGTATAATCGAATAAAAACGGAGTCAACGATGGCTATGAAATGAAGATCGTTGTCATTTTATATGTAAAATTATATGAGAAATATCATCGATCGGGAGATATCATCGATCCATAAAAGTTGTAAATAATCACATACCTAATGAGTTTGTGTTTTCTGTTTTTTTTTTCTAAAGCCTGTCATTTTTGATATATGACACAAACATTATGTTTTTTTTTTAATGGAAACCCTAGTTGGCCATGACTTCATAAAAAGCGCCATTCTTTAAGCTTTTCAGCGATACAGGTATAATATGTTTTTTTTTCTCGAAAAATTACGTTAAGTAAAAATAAGTTATAGCCACTTTTTTTTTTCTTAGCTAATTCCCATACCAATAATACCATGCCAATTAGTTGGCATCAAAAATGTAAAAAGTTTTATGTTTTCAAAAAAAAATATCGTAAAATTCGTAAAGCACTCAATTTAGAATAAAATAATCTAAGAATGAAATGATTCTTTTATAAACCTGCATTAAATCAAATTAAAATAGGTATGTAACTTTTTTTTAAATATTTATTTAAAAGCAATTATTTAAATAGCAATTAGCATTATCATAAATTATAAATAATGTACCAACATATCGAAATAATAATTTCTTTGTTAATACGGTTTAGAATTCTTAAAATAACAAGCAAAAATAATCCACAATTTACAATAAAATAAAAGTTTCGCTTAAATTTCTTAATTAGCTGATCACTATTAAAGTTCGCAGAAACCCGGGCTATATTATTATATTACTCTGAGGAAAATAACGAAAATAATCGATATTTTTGACTCCGCCCCGAAAGGTCCACGATTTGTCCTCCAGTTGGCAGCACATTTTATCTAGTCGGTTGAACAACTTTAAGAATATATAAACACACAAGGGGTGGTAGTAAATAAAAACCTTTAAAATACATCAAAATTTTAAGATTCCAGAGTTTCCCGAGTCGGTGAGTGTACATTAAAAAATCAAGATAAAGACCGTTTATACCAAATTGTACTTACGCAAGTGCCGTGCCAGTTGGTCTGAGTTGAGTAGCGGGCTGCCTAGGGGGCACCCTAGTGTGCCGTGTATAGGCCCTAGGGGCGCTCCTGCAGGACCTTCTGGGCATTATGATCGAGAATTGTGTTACGACTGATCACAGAATAACTAAAACTGATGAAAGGACAAATCGAACAAAGAAACTAAAAATTGCTGTTTATTGTTTGCTTGACTGATGACATATCTGATGAAATATGTGAATGATTTACTTATAAATTTGGATTGTTTGCTCTTGCTGGGACTGAAACCCCTGAATAATAGAATATTATCAAGCTTATTAGTAAAATTTTATCTTTTTGGTTTGTTATTCTACGATGGAACCATTTCAATTTACGAAGTACATTTTAAAAGGCCTAAACAAATAATCTAATGATAATTAAAAGAGACACATAAACTCTCTAAAAGTACCCATGCATCCTGAGAAACTAACTAAGCAAATAATACAATCTTCTAAATATTTTAAAATGATACAAACGAGGGGAAAGTAGAATAAATTAATATTCGTCCCTTATTATCGAAAGTCTATTGTACAGGGTGAGTCAACGATAGAGTAAAGTCCATTATCTCATTTGTTTCGAGGTTTACAAAAAAATGTTTAACATAAAAGTTATAGGGAAGGTTAAGATACACATTTTAAAATTATTAAAGAGTATACAGGGTGCTTCAAAAAAGTGTGGCGGATATAACATATTGTTGCGGACCCGTGTGGACTCGACCTAACCTAACTATATGTCCCGCCCTCAGATGACCTTAACATCGCATTAAAGAATAGACACAGTAATGATTCATTCGTTCGAGAAAAATCGAGTCCCACTGGAATGGACTAGTACATACGAGAACATTCGAAAACCTTCTCTACGCACCTAACGATCTATGGACTATTCTAGAGTTCTTTACCTGTCGGTATAAAAGCCGGCGGCTGTGGCCTACAGGGGGCAGTTATAAATATACCAGTGCAGTTGACGCGCTAAAATTCAAAATAAATTCTTAGTTATAAATCGTTTGTAAATAGTTCTATAAGTCTTTTATCGTTATTGTTTTTGTTAATTAGTGTTAAATAAATACTGTTTAAATAAATTGTGACTTTCTATCCACACGGAACCGACGAAAAACGTAACAATATGTTTTTTTTAAAGGCAACACCCTATTTTTTATTTTATTTTTAGATTCTGCGTAAAATTTTATAACTTTTTTATATATAATGTTATATACCTAAAATTAACAGTTTTTGAAATATTTAAATTTGTTTAAACAAATGTTAAATTGCAGTGTGGTAAAAAATTGCCAGTAGTACCATTGTTTCTGAAGTTGGAATACCAAAACTTGGTATGATAGTTCTATAGAGATTAAAAAGAAGATATATGTTAAGATATTTTAGTTAAATGCTACAGGGTGTGCAAAATATATTTATGAATTTCAACTGCTTAAAATTAAGAAATTTCAATTTTTTTAAATGGTACACCCTATATATTATCATTTTTTCTGATAGATTTTACAAAACTCTTCAACTTTTATTAAGTATGTCATATACCTATTTTTATTAGTTCGCGATTTATTCCAATTTTTTGGAATAACACACCTTTAGTTCCAAAACACACCTTTAATTCCGATGACAATACAATATAGTAATATCAATAACATTGTAAATCTAAGATGGCCGCCGGTACAAAATGGCAGATTTCATATTTTTCCACAACCCGGCCTCAATATGGGTATCAGATGAAAGGGCTACACTAGTAGAATACTGTGATATGACAAAATTTAAAATCCAAGATGGACGTCGTTACAAAATGGCGTATTAGGTGAGGGCATGAGTAGTCGTGTCCAGAACAGTTGTGCCCAAGATTGTGTGACGTTAGAAGGACAGATAAAAAAAAAGGTGATTAGATGTACCTACGTAGTTAGCGGTAGCTTTACCACCCAAGTTAAGGTAACAGGTTAAAACGTGCTGAGGACTGTATGGCATTAGGGTGGCTAAAAATGTAATGTCGCAAGCGTTTTCCCCTCAAGATTGGGCGCCTCTTATTGTATATTATAGCCTTGCCCCTCTACTGGACCTCTGGGGGGGTCGACCGTTAAAATGTCCATTACTCGTGGGAACAACATGGAAACAATAAATAAAAAAAACAAACAAAAATAAAAACGAAACTGCTACACAACGAAAAAGAAGGCTCGAAAAGGCGAAAGAAAAATATAGAACGAAACGTGCAAAAGAAAGTGAAAATGAAACCTATAGTCGACTACAGAAATGAAGAGAACGGTTAGCAACAGAAACACCTGAGCAACATGATGCCAGGTTAATAGCACAACGTGAGAGACAAAGGCAGCTGGTAGAGTCGGAAACACCTGAGCGTCATGAGTCCAGGCTAGCATCACAACGTGATAGACAGAGAGAGTTGTTAGCGGCAGAAACACCTGAGCGACATGAGTCTAGGCTGGCATCACAACGAGAGAGACAAAGAGAGTTGTTAGTGTCAGAAACACCTGAGCGTCATGAGTCTAGGCTAGCATCAGAACGCGATAGACAGAGAGAGTTGTTAGCGTTAGAAACACCTGAGCGTCAGATTGTAATAAATTATCAGGTAAAAAACCATGTAATAATGATGCACTAAATGAATTAAATAGAATGAGGAATATTCGGTAGGCATTTCCGTCAAATACTAAAAACTAGAAAATAAAAAATCGGTAAAAAAACTTTTAAGTTAAACGGTTTTATCTTATGTGCACTGAAAACTAGAAAATAATAATAACAATTAGGTATTTTGAACTTCTAGTTCAGAAATATTTTAGTACTAGGCAGAATAGCTTTTAGGCATATTAGACTAAAATAAAAACGTGGGCCCTCTGAAATCCTACCTATAGCAAAGCATATCTTTATACTTTGGTAGATCATGAGCTCGGCGTTCGCTGGTGAAGCCGCCACGGCTGGTTATTGATTGTCAAAATCTCCAGTTACGATTATAGTAAGTCGATGCAATCCACACTTAGTATAGAAGAAAGTATTACAGCAATAGTTAATGGGCCAAAAAAAATAAGTAATAAAAAGTGTCAACTAAATTTAAAAAACCATGGCAAATAAAACTTGGCAAAATAAAACAGTATACAGGGTGTCCCAGGCTGAGCGTGCATTAGAAGTTTCTAGAGAACCACAATATCTAGATCGGATTTTTTGCATTATTTTTACATACATTACATTTTATTTGCATCATTGTGTTACAACAAGATCTATCGATTAAAAATATTTTCAATATGGCGGCACTTCCGGAAATACCGGAAGTTGACTACAAAACTTTCTTATTTCAAATGGCCGCCCCTATTTTTATTACATACTTAAATTCTCTGTAAAATTCTAGGATACACTCTATATCTAACATTAACCGTTTTTGAGAAAAAAAATATTTAAAATTTTTGGACGAAAAAAACTACCTGTCAAAAAAAATTTGTATAGCCTAAAAGCCAAATTTAGTGATTGCTACAGCTACTGTGACATAAACAGAACACATGTAGCTATCTATTTTAAAAATTAAATTGTTCAAATGTCATACGATAATGGCGGTAGCTGTCATGGAATTGAACGATTAAAAAGTTATCATAAATCATTTTTTTCAAATGGAGACCCACTCTTTTATTTCACTAGTGAAAAGGTTTTACAATTCGTTACTTTTTAACTATACATGTTCCTATACCAAAAATAAATCGTTTTTAAGTTATTTAAGATTTAGTTTTAAAACGTATATTTTTCTTGATTTTATCTAGCTTCCTTTGACATTAAGTGTCAAAAAGTCAGACAGTTTATTTCCATCTGTCAGAAAACAAATTATTTGAATTTCCTATATTGTAAAAGTTTAAAAAGTGTATTTATAAAAATATATTATAAACGCCACGAATGTTTGGGAGTGATTCATCGCTTGATGAAATTAGAATCGACACGCGCGCTATCATTTTTACATTAAAAACGTAAATTTTTACCGCAGACGTAGGTTTTTAAAGGCCCGGTCTAATCATCTGCCTGCCCTCCTCCTACTTTTTCTAAAATGTTAGCGTGATTGACAAAGACGATACTATATCGCGTTTCTTTGATTGATTCGTTTTTGTGCGTCAGTCCATTGGTGGGCTTGCAGTGTGACCAGTGGGGCATTCCAGTTTATATTTATAACCAAATATATGTTTTGAGAAGACTTTGACAGTTAAAACAACAAATTACAACAGATTATATATTGATTATTATATGACTTGAAACACCACGGCACTGGAATTAAGTTTTATGTGACCTTGAGCAGATTAGTTCACATGGTAGCGACCGTTGAATCACTCCCAAACATTCGTGGCGTTTGCTATATCTTGTATTCTTAGTGATATCTAATAGTTGATTAGATTATTAATATACTGTATCAACACTGAAAAAAACGCAATGTTGGCTTGCAAATGATGGTTAACATACAGCTTTTTGAACAAAATGTCACAATATGACATGGCCATATTGTTTTACATCACTTGACGTAAAGTCATAGGCTACTGGTTAAAATCAAGAAAAATATACGCTTTAAAACTAAATTTTAAATATCTTAAAAACGATTTATTTTAGGTATAGGAACATGTATAGTCAAAAAGTAACGAATTGAAAAGGCTTTTCACTAGTGAAATAAATAAAGCAGGTTTCCATATGAAAAAAATGATTTATGATATTTTTTTAATCGCTCAATTTCATGACAACTGTAGCCATTATTAAATGACATTCAAATAATTTAATTTTTGAAATAGATAGACACATGTCTTTTCTTTATGGCACAGTGGCTGGGATAATCACTAAATGTGACGTTTAGACTATACATATATTTTTGACAGGCAGGTTTTTTTCGTCCAAAAATTTTCAATATTTTTTTTCTCCCAAAAACGGTTAATGTTTAGGTGTAGAGTGTTTGATATCAATAAAATTCATAAAATTTTACAGAGAATTTAAGTACATAATAAAAAATAGGGGCACCCATTTAAAATAAGAAAGTTGTCGACAACTTCCGGTATTTCCGAAAGTGCCGCCATATTGAACATATTTTTAATCGATAGATCTCGTTGTGAAACAATGATGTGCAAAAAATCTCCGGTCTAGATATTGCGGTTCTCTAGATATTTCTAATGCACGCTCAGCCTGGGACACCCTGTATAATAATATAATTCGCCACA